GTAAAATGTTCAAGTCTTCTTGTGAGTATAGGAAAGGTGGTGGGCTGTAACTTCGGAAACCCGAGTGGGCAATGTCTTTCAATATGCATTTGATCGAGTCTGGAAAAAATCCGGATGGTTCATGAACAGGTTCTTGTTTAAGTCAGTTGTAAAATTTTTTCAAAGGGGGTTAAGAAGGTGCAAATGTTAAACTTTTTCGGTGGGATGGAAAAGTTTAAGCCTTTTGAAAGAATTTCTTTCTCTCTGTCAGTAATGAGGCGGTTTGAAAAGTTAAACACCACTTTATCAGGGTCGATTGGGATGTTGTTGTCATGTTTGGATGTGAGACGGAAAAGTTTGCGATCTTGGATATGTTGATGTTGCGTTAGTTTTCATGAATTTTCACGATCGGACACACACTTAAGGTGTATAAAGTTAATTTTGGAAATTAGTAACGCCAGGTAAGAGTGTGTTTGTGCTAGTTGTGCTGAGAGGACGCGTATACAAGCGTGTTTCCCGTTTATTTCTTCTTGAAGGTGTTTATTTTGGCATTGGCGATAAGCGCTAGAGTTTTATAAAGGACGACTAGCTATTTTGAATCTAAGGAATCTTGGTATCACAGAGCGCTTTTTCCATGTCGTAAGAAAATCCAGGTCAAGTTTGGCTTTTCCCAGCTTGAGTTCAAGTCGTTGGAATTTTCTAAATGCTTCAAGTGCTCCATTATTATAGCGATTATTTAAAATAGTGGCGAGACTTGCTGAGCGGAAATTGAATTCGTGTAATAAAAATTAATGCCCAACGTAAAGTTTTTATTAGAGCTATAGAAGTAGACCAAAAGTTGTAAAATTGAATTTATTGTGACGTTTCGTCATTACTCAAGACATCTTCAGAAAATTAATTAATAGGATGTTAAGACAAGATATTATATTTACAAAAGAAAATCTTGAAAAATCCAATCCTTCAGACAGCATATATAGCTAGTTAGTTATTTTTGCCTTTTTAGTTGCCTTTTTGTTCAATTTCCAGAATATAAATCGTGCACATGAACATAATTCCTGAAATACAAAGAATTATTTGTTAAGTTTATAAGTAAATTAAAATATAATAAATAGATAACCTAAGCAAATTTAATAGTTTAAGAGATAAAGAATAAATTATATAGCTACGCATTTCTGTCATTTTATCCTAAAATTCTCAAAGATAATGATTTATGATTATGTAGTACATGAGCATACGTATGTACTTAGCAGAACTTCCATGTTGCTTATTGATGATGCTTGTTATGGTTGAAAAAACCATATGTACTTAATTGTTTCCATTGATTGCATTTCATCGTTATGTTTTGGAGCTCACAGTGTAGTTTGTCTACCGGCCTAGATCATTCAGAAACAAAGCGCGGGCACCAATGTGAACGACGACACACGAATAGCGTTTACAGAAAGGCACGTCTTCAGCACATGGTTTTAAAACTTTTTTACAATGAAAAACATGAAATTATAAATAAACCAAGCTAATGGTACTACACTCAGTGTAAATGGCCTGCATATTTGTGCCCGAACCGGAGTATGGTATTTCTGTACTCAGTCTGAACGCGCTATTAGAGAGTTGGAAACAGTCATTTCATACGTAATTGTCCTTACTTTTTCGCTACCTTTTTTGTTTTACATAATACAGTTCATATATCTTGTAGAGAGGCATAATTGTTAAAATGCAAAGAATCGTGTACTGTCTGTAAATCATGTAAAAATTGGAAAGATAAAAAAATGATTTCATAAACAATTTGGCTATTTATCTTAAAATTCTGTGAGGGGTAGCCCGTTCATTGCAATCAGTTCCTATGTTCCTTTCTCAAGATGGAATTTGCGGAGAGTGAGGCTGTAAATGGATCCTTGACAGATACTGTAAAAAGCGTATTGATATTGTCGATTAAATAACAACAGAGTATGCAGACATGAGGCTCTTTGTAGACACATACTCTAAAGAGACGCACTGCCATACTGGCTTGTGTATTGATTCTAGAAAGTATATTTCATTAACTATGTAGTACATATACATATGTCCACAGCAGAAACTCCATGTTACGTATTGATGATGAAAATGTTTTACTTGAAACAAAAAAATATCTACAGCTAAAATACCATTTCTATATTTTGTGTATTTTATTGCAGTCTTTTCAAGCTATATGTAAGTTATTAAGTCACTCGCTATATGTACGTAGATCGTCAAGAAAGCAAAGGCATCTCAACTACGACAGGAAATAAAATAGCCGTAATGTCGACAGTTCTGTACATAACATTATGTCAACAACACAAAACCTGTTAAATTTCTGTTTAAGCTTGCAGAATTTTATAATACCAGGAACTCGTTTAAATAAAATGGCATCATTCCTTAGAAAATAGCCTTTCTTTGACCATTGAATTGCTAAACGACGGTAGCAATATAAGCTGTGTGTTGTGAGACACAAGGTAAGGAAAAACAATTGTCAGAAGAATGCTCAAAGAGTTTTTACTAACCAATTATATGCCTCAGTAACACGGAATTTTTCATAATATGTTAAAATTGGTTTTCACCACGTCACTATGTCTGTTATAGTCAATAAGCGGTATTCGCAATGTAACAGCCGGATATGCATTGAGACAAATAGCCTCGTACGCCCCCGTTACCCAAATGCTTTTCTTAACCCCCCTGTAATCGTGCTTATGGCATTTAACGAGTTGTTCAATATGCTTTACACATACGGCTACATTTTACATATTTGCTTTACGTAAAACTTTCTACATTGCAGTCGATTCAAGCCCATCTTGCGAAAGTACGGAATGAGATCAAATGAAGTAATGGTCATGCTTTTCGCACATACATTTGCAGGCTCACATATTTGTTTGAAAAAAGAACTTTGAACTGTTCATGCAAGGCAATGCTAAATACGTTCTAAATCTTCCTCTAGAAAACTTCATTGTGTTCGTGGAAGGTTGAGGATGAATATTCTTGATATCTTGAATAAAAAATATTTCTAGAGGCAGAGTTGGTGAAAATTTATTATATCCGTATAGGAGTCCTTTCAGTGGAAGAGATGATTAGTTGTTACCAATACATCTAACAATGGTTTTCTTTTTTCCCCAAATCAATCCTCTGTGGTAGATTTGCATAATATTGCTAACGACATAATTTTCACATAACAATTCTTCCTAGTTATATTTTATTTATAACTTATGCAACATCAAATTTTATCCATTATTCGACGCTACAACTAAGTGACTCACTGAAATTCAATGGGAGAAAATAATCACGGGATAAATGTTAAAACATGATTTTGTCTACTGACAATTTGATATGAGTTCATAAGAATTCGATACGCACTATGAATCTGCATAAAATTAATGTAGATTTGATCAATTAACTTAGCATGAACATGATTTTATTTAATCAATTCTAAATTAGAAAAGATTAAGGATGAAATCGATGTACAATAATGGAGTTACAGGTGCTTAGTTCAATACACAAGACTTGGCGCAATGGCAAGGGAAACTGAAAGATGTTTATTGTAATATTGACAAACATGACGTGGAATCAAGTATGTTCTTGAGAAGAACGGGGGGGAGGTTAGATCACCTAAGCAGATTAAATAAACGACTCCTCCAAGCAAAATCCTTTCTGCAAATCTCTTGCCAAGTTTTGTTTGATCATTAAAAAGAAGTTACTTAGTGCACTTCAGCGTTTGGTTAATCAAGAGTCTTTTCTATTTTTTTATTTATTTTTTGACATGAATATCGTTTCGCTGAGTTTAGTTCAGACTCTGTCGAACAAGTCTAAAAATCATTGCGCATATCTCCAAGTCAGTCAATGATCGCAAACTATGCATTTAATTTTAGCGAATTATCTTACAGTTAAAATCCGTAAACAATCAAATCTATGTCAAATAGCTACCCCCCTTTGAGGAGTCTCCCATAAAATTTTACTTAAATTTGTATTCTTCTGGTGATTTTTTTTTACTTTTAAAATTTACGACAGGTCGAAGAAGAAAAAATGTGAATTGAATTGCAGGAAGAAACAAGCAACAATATACTAACTTTTGACAAGAATGTTAGGCGATAAAATGTTACAGTCGCCAACCAGACATACAGCTTCAATAGCGTTATTTCTAAATAACGGAAACACATAAAATTCCTACAACTGTTCACATTTATCTTCCCAGAGAGCACTCTTTGTGGTTCTTTCAAAAGTTATAAATAAGTTGAATAAAGTTCTTTGTTTAAAAATGTCCACACGTTCGTAAGAAGAATGTTTGTAATCCAACAAATACTTAACATTAATCGACTATCGTTCAAGAAACAAGCACAAACATGTTAAATAATACGATTTGCGATGATTATCCAACAAGTATTATTATAAAAACACAAAAACACACTGTAGAAACAGCGAAAAAGACTGTTGGAATTCTTACAGTTAAGTCAAACCAAGTTAATAATGCACTAAATCTAAATTTGATGCAAATACCTATGAGACAAACTTTCTTTAAACTTAAATGTATGAAAAGATATTCTGTAGAACAGACGATTTTTAAGATTCAAATTAGATGGGGTAGTTTGCTTTTGCGTTTGATCAAGGTCGCTGTGAAGTCCAATTCGCCGTATGTGTAATCACTTCAGACAGTCAATGTACAAAAATTCAATTGAAAAAAATGCAATTTAGATGTGATCAAGCTGACACTTTTTGTACATGGAACAATGTTTAAAATGATTAAATAGAGAAAATCGAACGGTACAACTAATGACAACACCAAAGAGGTTTTTGAGCCGAGAATGTTCCCATATTTACATAATAACTGTATGTACGACATATCTAGAAGGTCGAAATTGTAAAGATTCTCTTTTGTTGCGGCAACAGGCGTAAAGTGGCGAATCAAGTGCTATTCCTACGCATAGTTGAATTGAAAGGTTTCCATGGATGTGATAATTACAGGCCATTAAATTATACTAAGAAGCAACAGTGGCGTAGTGAGTTTGGTAATGACTGTATAATTGTTCACTAAAGTAGGTGGAGTGCTCAAAAAATATCTTAGTTATCAGCGTGAAGCCATCCAGACAGCATCTTAAAACAACAGCGGCTCCAACGAAGACACAACATCGTAAAGTAAAGACGAATTGTTGATTCGACTCGCATCCAGATGACACAATCAAGAATCCTTCCAACTGCCTTAATCGCATTTTTAACTTTCGTTTTTATAGGTAAGTGAACCCGATTGACGTTTAAATTGATGCGTTGAGTAGATGAAGACGTGTAGTTGTTCATGATCTTCTCCAGTACAATATGAAATACCCCACTCATTGACTCTATTTAAAGTTATCAAACGTTCTTTGCGTAAAACGATTTGGGTAATATGATTTGTGCAAAATATGCAGACACATGGAGACAACTAAAACACCAGGTCAAAATTAAGTATTAGCTACCAACAATTCATATACTCTTAAACGAGCTTAATTGGAAAAAATTATGTTTATCAATAAACATATTTGACTTTGGTATTTTTGGAATTCGTCGCATAAAAAATTTGGAAGCAATTGCTCCTAGACTATTTCCGTTCATTTTCTTCAATACATACACTACCGCAGGTTGCCATGAAGACATTTAAAAAACTCGTCATTTATTCATTTCAAGATCATGAATAGATTGCCTAAAGTTTAACGTTCGCGTATTATACTGACGACTGATTGCACGATTTCTAACTTCTTAATATTCTTATGGGTTTTCTCAAATGTTTATTCTCTAATATATTGTCTGTTTGATGAATTTGACAAGTCTTTAAGTCTTTGCTTTGTATCATATTATATTTTCCTTGTTTTCTAAAAGCTCTTATTCTAGGACATTGCTGTCTGTTTTTCAAACCATTTTTTTCTATTTACCATAATATGTTCAACCTCTCAAGTCTCTAATTCTTCGTCTCAGTTCATTACCTAGTCTCTGTTTTGTTCCTTATGACGTTTTTGCTTTTCATTGAGTTCACATCATTTGCTCGTGGAACAAGTACTTAAGGTAGTTTCTTACAGTCTTCTCTACTTTTTATTGCAGCTGTACAATATTGCGCTAAGAGCTAATTCTCGAGCCAAACTGAAAAAAATTAATATTTGACACCGACACGCTAAAACGGTCTACATCTAGGTGTAAAAGGAAGACGAAAACCCGCGAGAAATATTTGCAATAAAGCTTTAAACATTTTATGTATTTTTCGGAATGTGCTCACCTTATCAAAACATCCTTAATCTTTTAAATTAAAAATTTTTCAAGGAACAAAAGCTTGTATAATTAAGTGGCAGTAATAAGCAATTCAAAGTTGTCAAGTACCTCGACTTCCTAGGAATAAAATTTAGGAAAAACAGCATTTAATTGCTAGAATTATGGTCAACGTATTTCAACCACATTTAATGTTTGATATTGTCAGTCGAATGAAAGAAATCAGCAAAGAACAAAGCTGTTGGATATTTGTGATCATACTATTTTGGAGATTAAACGACCGCAATTCGACATAATGTTTTCCGGTATTTAATTATTTTAAAATATTTAAGTAGAAACGTTGGCGTCGGCGGAACAAGTGCTTCATCTGGTGCAATCTATAAAGTTGGTTTGGCTCTGTTCTTTCCCAACATCGCCACATTCCCATATTTCAAAGAGGGGTCGATCTATCTAATGATCAAAAATTCTTCATAAATCAAGTGTAGAACTGTATGACACCATGCTGATATGACGTAACGTATTACGTTGATTTTGCTAAAACTGCGCCCTACGATTTCAGCATTTCTATACAGGGTGTATACATAAAAAACTGAACACTTAGTAAAAAAATCACTAAAGTGATCAGCGCACCAGATCTTCAAACTTTTAGTGAAATCAGCAATTGGACTTCGAATGGTTCACCAGAGAGTAAATTATTTTTACTTCTTACATAATAACTATTTTTAGAATGAGAATTATGTTACGGAGGAGCACTTTTGAAATAGCTTTTACACAAAAATGACAGAGCTATAAAATAATCGACGACTTGGAGCACGTAGGGTTAAAGTATGACATGTTGTTCAAACGTACAAAGTTTCAGGAAATGTGGCGAAACCGTACACGAACGCTAAGCATCCAAATAACGGATTATCTTGCATTTTCTCTTCTTATAGACATTTTTTTCAAACTTTTATCAATTATTTTAATTTCCACAAAAAGTTTCAGCTAATCTTACACGCTGGTGACTTCAACAACGTTTTCCTACATAACTGTTCAGTTTTTTTTTATACACCCTGTAATCCTGTAATCGACTATAAATTTCTACTTACACAGCCAATAAACACACCTAACACTAATACCTCACAATGGCAAACCACGTTATAAGTTGCTGCAGCACAAGATTAGAGTCTGTTGACGAAATGTATCTAAAAAATGAAAGCCCTTAAAAGAATTTTTTCAAACATTTTGGAGATCTGTAGACAAATATTCGCAAGGTTGGAGTTTGTGAATTTTCAGTAATTTTTAGCAGTTACAATGTAAATAACTGTATAGCATGTTTAAATAACAGGTCTTTTATAATTGTAAATAATATTCCACCAGATAGGACCAACTTTATGTACATGAATGAACCTTACAGTTTAATTAAAGATTTTAAGTTATGTTAAGTTTCACTAACCTCGTTTAATAGTCCCTTTCGCTTTTTTATAGAATTATCCTCTGCCAAGCAATGCACAAAAAAGCTCAAAACCTTTATGGAAGAAGACAGTCAGGTCGATCTCAACTTACTAGATTTCCATAACAAGCCAGCTTTTTATATTTTAATCAGCAAGCCTCCAAGTTATGGATCGTTAATATGTTTTCCTGACGAATACCACACAGACAAACACTGCAGCCTTACACCCTCATATCAACCAAAACCAAATTACAACGGAGAGGACAGCTTTTCATATTTTCTTCTTCATAAAAATTTCTCAACTATTTCAAACGAGGAATACGAAATGTGGATAATAATAGAACCCAAAACGGATAAAATCGTGGCACGACTAGATGAAGTTTCCATGAAACAGTGGGACGAATATATTCACATACCAGTATTAAAAAACGACGAATACGTAGATGACCCAGCGATATGTGTGAACAAAGACAACACACGTGTTGACGGAGACATTGAAATAAAATTTAAAGATATTGCCGAGGAGTTGGGAATGAATGAAGTGCAATCAGCAGTACCGTCAAGTCCGGACTGCATTTTTGATCATTTCGACCCGACACTTGAATCTTGGATAAAAGGCTCTTTTTGTCTTCCAGAGCAGAGCGCAGGGGCTGGGGCAACCGCTGATTATGATAACGACGGGCTCTTGGATGTATATTACGCAAGAGTTGATGGTAATGATCAATTGTGGCGAAATTTGGGAAACGGTTCATTCATGTTAGTAACAAAGGAAGCAAACCTTACACAAACAATGAATCATCGATCATCGAGCGTCACGTGGGCTGATATCGACAATGATGGTGATGTAGATCTCTATATTGGTACTATTGCCGAAGAGAGATTCTATTTTTATGCTAACGATGGAATGGGGCATTTCACGGAAGAAGCTGTTGAACGTGGCCTAGCGGGAAAACCAACAATTCCACCTTACAAAACATCAACAATGACAATTGCTGTAGGCGACTACAATAAAGACGGTATGAAAATTTGCAAAATCCCATCACCATCAGTGGTGGATATTTACAAGTGCGAGGTAGAGGGAATGGGGTGAAGCTTTGCAAATTTCCTGCATTTTTTTGAAAGTGTCAGACATTTTACATGCAATGTTTAAGAATTCTTTAGCAAATCTCCAAAATTCCTCAATCTTCTTCTAAATTTCATATATTGTTTTACTTTTTTTCCAAACCTCGATCTACTAAAAATTGGAATAAATGGAGACTGCCGCAAGGTACTAATGACGACATCAAACTCAAACAAGAAAAAAGATTAAAGATAATTAGAATTATACGCAGATTAAGCAGTGGAATTGCAAATGACCAAGAATTTATTTCCCGAAATTCTGTAAATTCAGAGGTTTTTACATTTCCAACATATCTTACAATTTCTGACAGAACGCTGATTTTACGAAATATGCGTGTATGGGGGGGTGGGTGGGGTGGTATAGGAAAGCTGTTGCACCATTTTACCAAGGTTTCTGCCGCTGACTGTCTTCTACTAACAGCAGAAAAACAGCAATATGCTTGCATATTTTTAGGCTGGTTGGACTTTTACTCGACGGAATGGTTACCACATTTGGATCAAAGCTATGATTATAAAAACGGAAGTCATTCGCAGGCGAAGCTCTTCAAAAACTTGGGGGCCGAAGGGAAACCAGGTGATTATACAACATCAATTTAAAGTTTATAACGAACGGGGGCACTCGTCATTTTTCCAACTAATTAAAGAAGATGGGGATCCTACAAGTGTGAAAAGTACGATTCAAAAGTACGAGTTACGCTCTAGTTGTCATGTATAGAGTTACAGGATTTTTCCATGATTTCACAAAACAAGATTTTAGTGCGTAATCTTATGAATACACATTTAAACTTGAATGCAATGAATGCAGTAAATGAAGCACTATACGACCAAATGGAAATTTTTTATAACAAGCATCCTTTAGCGCGTTTTAAAGAAACAATGGTTAGAGCGTGCGCATTTGCTTGAAAATTTGAAAGTTGAAAGCTGTGGTCAGAATGTTTCAAGCCGATAGTTAAAAAGTAAAAGATGTTTTTCGCGCTTGCACAGGTTTATCGAAACCGAAAAGATCTTTGAGATAACTCGAGAGCAGATGAGTTCAAACCCAAGACCGAAAGCCGACCTACTTAAGAGTTTAAACATATGTCTCCGAGGTATGCATAACTTTTTGCAAACACGAAAAACATCTTTTATTTCTTTTATAAAATAAAAATGATGCGAAACAGGTAAATTCAAAGGAAATTTTCTGATTTTCCTACAGCATGTACAATTGATTGATTTTCATTTCTCTTTAATTTGATTCTATATTTCCTGAGCTCAGATCGGTGTCCCTCATTTGCGCAAGCTAATGCAAACTCAGCAATAGAGCAACCAGCACGCGCATTATATTGAAGTGATCTTATTAATAACAATAGATTAATAGATATACCTATATTGATAACAGATATTGTCAACATTATTATTTTCAGACCTAATTATATCACTTCAGGTTATTTCAAGGATGTGACGGTGGAGGCTGGATTAGATTCTAAGCCAGAGCCTCGCACTAGAGCAGACGAGGTAGCAGGTTTGACGAACATGACACCATATAAAATCAAAAATATTGGATTATTTAAAGACGTGATGCCAGGACCTTACAGTCTCTCTGCGATGTTTACTGATATTGATTCCGATGGTGAGATTAATGTTGTTTGTTAAATTCTTTATCTGCGATCGATTCTTACATGTTGCATAAATTTGACAGCATCAACAAAGCGATTATATTCCTTTTAGGAAATCTTGATTTAGTTATAAGTGGAGATTTCTTTACAAGCCGTTTGTACTGGGGTACAGCTGAAGGGAAATTTGTCGATAGCACAAAAAAAGCTGGGGTTGGTTTAGAAGAGAACGGTATGGGTTCAACAATCGCTGATTTCGATAACGATGGTCTTCAAGATTGGTTCGTCACCAGTATCTACATTAGTGAGAAATATCGCAAACCATATTTCGAAGCTTATGGCCCAGGTGGAGGGATGATTTTTGGATACACGGGAAATCGAATGTATAGGAACCAAGGACATCGTAGGTTTTCGGACGAAACGGACCAAACTGGAGTTCGACCAGGTATGAATTTCAGAACGTAAACAACGTACGTTTAGCTATCACTTTTCATTGAAAGTAGTTTACTGTCGCAAAGGAACAATCATTTACAGTTGAACTGAAATATAGCCACCACACGAAAAGAAAGTTTCCCACTGGATAACTTATTTTAAGTGCTAGATGAATGAATCTAAGATAACTAAACATGGCAGTATGGCACTGGCTAAACGCATGATAATTTGCCAAACGCCAAGTGAAGAATTCAGGTTACTCATGCGTTGAGAATGAAACGGAAATTATAAGTCAACAATAACTTGATACAAAACTAACAAAAATGATTTAGTGGAATTATACCAAACTTATTCCCAGGGTCTTTTCTTGGGGTTGTCATTTAGCTTACACAGCAAGCTATCATTAGAAAAGTCACTTTGTGAAAATTGACCGTACGGAAAAACCTCAGGAAAAATACCCTGGGAATAGGTTGGAATTACACTACTTTTTAAAGCTGGTTTTTTAATTTGGCATTTTTTGAATTAAAGAGAATATGAGTTCTTTTAGTCCATTTGAACTTTTGCGAACCTTGAAAAAGTTTTCTTATGAACTTTTTGGCAGATCTGAAGTACCATATGATCAATAAATAAATGAAGTTTGGTTGCCAACGTAGCAACTTTGGGCAACTCTTGTAATTTGCAACATTCCAAGATGGCTGCCAGCAGCCATCTTGAAAATCAAACTTGCAAATAAAGTATGGTCCAAGAGATATTTTTTACTTGTTTTCATTACTTAGACTTCTTTCTTCACGTTACTAAGGCAGATATATTTTTATATAACTAGTTAACTTTAATTCATGATGACGTTTTTTTACATAAGTAAAGTTTTATTGAATTTTAGCCAACACTATTGATTTAGGTTTTATGGTTTCATGCCAATTCATTGTCTGAGTCAATGCGATCGTAACTATCATCGTCACTTTCATTCTCTTCGTCGTCGTTCAATATATGCACTTTATCGTTGTTCTCCTTATCAACATCATATTCAGGTATGCGGACATGTGTGTACGGATTGCCACAGCCAAATTCTCCAGAACATTTGCAATAAGTTGTTTGTTGCAGCTAAAAGTCTTCGAGCGACATTTTTTGTCCTTTACCTTGCACTGATATTAAATGACGTTAATCAACACAGGAGGCGCTGGGTGTCCTTGAGCGATGAGAGGAGCTGGAATATCATCTTTAATGTCCCACCCAAAGTTTGTGATGTCTTCTGATTCAATCGGAGCGGCTTTTTGGTCTACAGCTTTCCATAGCATGACTTGTATGTGAGCACGTAATAAGTGTTGTAGCAGGTTGGCAAATGTTGGAGGTAGGGACATAACTTTCATCATCATCATCATCTTGCGGCCTCAGCCGAGATTTAACTCACCACATCTTTCCAGTATTCTCTATCTTTCATAGCTGCTAACAGATTTTCCTTAGGAATTGTTGTGTCTCGTCTTATCCTATCTGGAAAGGTTAACTTGCGTGATCTATTCTCAGATGATGGGTGTCTCCAAAGTACAAATTATGACACTATTTCATCAGTTGCACGTGCACAATGGCCTGCGAACTGAACACGTCTCTTACAAACTAAGTTTGATACTCTTGGTAGGTCTCCATATATTGTTTCTAAAGTTGGGTGGTTTTGCCAAGAGAGATTGTGGACTCTTCTTAAGAGACGTGTATAACATCCATCTAAACGCTGCTGTTGTTTGGCTGAAAGAGTCCAAGTCTCAGAACCGTACAATAAGATGGGCTCAACAAGAACTCGAAAAATTTGGATTTTAAATTTCCGATCAAGGTTGGATTTCCAGATCTTATCCAATTTGTTGCAGGCAGTCCATGGAATACCTTTTCTGATGTTTAAGTCTTTCTCTGAGTTCTTTATGTGTGATCCTAGATACTTGTAGTCTTCAACACATTTCAGAATATTTTCTGACAGTGTTTTGATCTCCTGATTGTTGCGGATGTTAACTGGCATAAATTCAGTCTTGGTTTCATTGAGATGAAGACCTGCACAGTTGGCTGCTGACTCAAGAGAAGAAAGGAGAGATTGGGCACCTTGGAGATTGTCAGACAACAATGCAATGTCATCAGCAAAATCTGCATCAGTGATGTAGAGTGCAGGATAGCGTGAGCTTTTTCTAGGCTGATACTTCAGGCCCTTTTCATTGATAGAATCTACTGATACACGCATGATGTAGTCTATCACACTTATAAAAAGGAATGGTGCCAATGTGTCACCTTGGAGAATGCCAGCCAGGATATCAAAAGGATCTGTTTCACCATCTGGGGTCAGGACAGTTGCTTGTGAGTTAGTATACAATACTTTGATAGCATCGATGATTTCTCCTGGTATGCCATAGAGTTCAAAAATTTCAAACATGGTATCGCGGTTAACTGAGTCAAAGGCTTTACTGAAGTCTACAAAGATGAGAGCTGCAGTTTTATTGCAAAAAGTGATTTCCTCAATTATTCTACGCAATGTGAGAATTTACCCAAGAGTGGATCGGCCTGGGCGGAAGCCATTTTGATTTTTGCGCAGAATAGGTTCAACTTCAGAGCGGATTCGGTTCAAAAGAAGCTTATTATAGCTTTTGCAGCTATAGGAAGCAAGGAGATACCGCGATAGTTAGTTGGCAACGTCAAATTACCTTTTTTGGGTATGGGAATGATTTGTGATCTTAACCAGATGGTTGGTGAAATATGGCTGGTCTTTGCATAATTGCAGAGATCAAGAAGTAATTGATGAAAGATTGGGTCTTTCCAGAGGATAGCAGGTATCTTGTCTGGTCCGAGAGTATTTTTCATTGGTTTCTTAAAGACATATTTCAACTCTGCACTTGTAAAAGGGCCTGTTGATATATTTAAGGTTTGACTGACTCGAACTTTCGGAAGTGACATATTATCTGGAAGACTTGCGGGACTGCCCAGGAGGCGTTTAAAATGAGAGTGCCAGTTAGCAAGTCGTTGTTCTCGGCTGCCACCCTTGACTGAAGGTGGGGGTTGTGAGCCTTTTCCCGCTAGTTGGTTTATGGTCTTCCAGGCTGCAGAGTGTTGTTGATTGATATGAAGATGAGAGATTTTGGCTATTTCTCCTTTGATGTAAGTTTCTTCTATCTCTAGATAAGCTACGTCGAGGGACTTCTTGGCTTCTGCAATCTTCTTTTTGTTACTCTGAGAAGGGTTGCAGTGATAGATTGATGTGATTTGCTTGAGGTTCTCACGAGCATCAACAACTTTTGAGTCTAAACTTACTGGTTTCTTTTGTGACTTGTGCTTTTTGGGGAGTGTAGATAGTGCAACCTCCTCATTTTCCTTAATCAGATTTCCATAGATCAGGTCAATGTTGGTTGCATCTAATGAAACTTCTGCGCTAGACTGAGTGAGTTCTTGGAATCTGTTAAACACGTTTACAGTGTACTGAGTTGATAAGTCCTTGTCCCTCTGAACTGACTTCCAGTCAATTGACTTCATTGGATCTGCAGTTGTTTTCTTCGAAACTCTTAAACTAAGTTTGATGGAGGCAGAGACGATTCTATGATCAGATCCAACAGAGGAGAAAGATGAATATGCTCTGCAGTCTTTGACACTGTTACGCCACTTTTTACGGACCATAATAAAGACTAGTTGGGCTCTGCTGCCATTTGGATACTCGAAGGTCCATAAATGGTTCTTATTTTTAATAAATCTAGTGCTAGCTGCGAAGAGACTAAATTCTTCTACCAGATGCTCTCCGTTGCGATTGGTTTCTAAGTGAAAGGTAAATTTGGCATCATCTGCTCAAAGTTTAGCGTTGAAGTCCTCTGCGACTAAGAGAAAGTTGTGAGCAGGAACTTGCTCCAAGGAAGAGCGCAAAGTGCTGTAAAAATCATTCAGTTCCTCTTTACTGCTACTGTTGTGGGGACTATAGCAAGATATCACTGTTGTGGTTGGGTTGCCTTTAAAGTCAGCAATAATAATCCTGGGAGATTTCTTCTCTATGAGCAATACATTTTCCATAGCTGCCTCCAACAGATGAGTTGACAGAGTTCTTCCAAGATGATGCTGTAACAACATGATAGTCTTCTATTTTCTGATACTCAATGTTTGTGTCAGGGTGGAAGAATCGATGTTCTCGAATAACAATAATATCTATGTTCTTTTCCTTTGCACTTCTTACAAGTTCACTAAGACGAGATGGAGGATTCAATGTTCTAGTGTTGAAAGTGCTGATAATGGTACGTTTTCCACAAGATACTAACTTACATTGCGTTTCCCTGTGGTTTTCTGCAGTAGCATTATGACGACCGGGCCCACCCTGCTGACCAATGGGACACCTGCCGGACGTGGGACCTTCACCAGAAGTTCCAGCCCCGTTCACGTCGTTGTGAATACTCAGTTTGGTGTAGTTCATAATCTTGTCATAGCTGAATACTTGGTGCTACGCTACGGCTATCAAGAATGTTTTATCGTGCCACCATCACTAGAAGGACTGCCGACCAAGGCTGAAGAGCTCCCTCTGCCCATGAAGCACGGTTATTTCCCGCCGGACGCCAACCCGGAAATTTCAAGACCACGCGGAGAAACATAACATAACTTAAAGACTTTTCTTGTTTTTTGGCGAAAACGTTAAAACAAGCAGACTCCATAGATGTGCCACGTATCTGACCATATAGAGCTATGAAAAAGGGTTCTCCAGTTTGATAAGGAGATCAAGGATATCTTCACCGTCTTCGCCCACATTATCCACTACAGAAACCTTCACAATTTTGCTGACATAATCGCGAAATCCAATGATGGACGCATAACCTTTAATCGATAGAATTATTGCATCATGACCTAAATATGCAACTAGCTTCGTGAACATTTGCTTTTGTGTTAAGTGACCACCATACATTACATACTTTTCACGCAGTTTAATATAAGTCCAGGTGCGCAGCTGATGATTACCGTGCATCTCGTCAACTAGCAAATGCATTGGTTCTTCTAGCAAGGGAGATTGGTTAGCTGTAGCAGGAGCTTTCGTGAATTCATCGTAGCAGGGAACATGGTACTGGGCTTCAACAGCTGCAAAATCATGAACACCGTTACAACGCAATGCGACTTCCCTGCTACACACATCATTACGATCATCAAAGTATTGCAAAACAACTGTCTTCAAAGGTGTGATGTCTCTTCAATCAGCTCTTTCACATTGTACAACTCTATCCCACCTATCAGGATGCTTTGGGTCGTGGTTACGTTTACAAGCATTACCACAAAACAGAAATTGTTCCCTGAAGTAAAATGTCATTACTTGTGATCTTCTTACTCCTGCAACCGGCACTTACTTGTGATATGTTAAATGGGATTTTCTTTTCTCCTCCACTTGCCTTCTAATGTGATCTTTTGAGATGAAGCTGCAGTGACAGTGTTCGTGAACTTCCACGTCTTCAGTTGAATCTAAAATAGCTTGCATCTTAGTTTGGGTTTCATCATCCGTCGCTTTATTGCATATCGAGCACCATTTTTGATGGCTTCCAGTTTAATTGTTTTCATAGGTCTAGATTTATTGCAGGTTGGTAAAATGGATTGACCATCAACGACCGCTCTATCGGCCATGTTACCGGTTACCCAACACGAGAAATATGATATAACAACTGTGTACAGTTTTTTAAAACTACAGCAAATTAACTTTTACCAATGAAAAATTAGCTTTATTAAATGGCACTTAACTACCTTGTTGTTATAAACAACTTGACAGGTTAATGACAATAAGACCCTTATTCAAAGACGAAGGTCTAAAATTAATATACAGTTAGCAGATACTCCAGAAAAAACATTGTCAAAAACTACACTGTATCAACTGTAAAATGATACAGCTGCTGACACACTAAACGCATTGCAGTTTGCTCATTTTATTCAATTCTCTGGTTATCCAAAAAATTCTCTAATTGCTAATACATTCTACTTCTATGCATTTGACAACGCTGGAAGGCAGTTACTTGTTTGTTGCTTTTATTTTACATACATTGTTGCCATAAATGAGAGACATTTAGCTACATATTTTTGATGGTGCATGAAATACAATTAAATTGTTTTTTTAAAACATGTCTGCTTAAGTAACGTGAAAAATGAAATTAAATTATTAAAAACAATTAAAAATTATCTTTTGGACCATATTTTATTTGCAAGTTTGATATTGAAGATGGCTGTGTGCAGCCATCTTGGAATGCTGCAAATCGAAAGAGTTGCCCAACGTTGCAACTTTGCCAACCAAGCTACATTTACTTAATGACCCTATGAGAGCTCAAATCAACAAAAAAAGTTCGTAGGAAAAACAATTTCTAGGTTGCATGATAAAATACTAAGTTTGTGAAGTAGCCTATTATTACAAGGACAAGTGAGTCTAATATTGACATGGTGTTAGGAAGATATCATAAATCTAATTAAAGCTGTGTTTAATAATCTGGAACTGATTGATGTAGATAGAATACTTAGCAATTTATCTTGGGTGGAAACTTTCATTCCGAGTAGTGTTTATATCGTGTTATCCAGCTTTAGATTTGACGAAGAAACTAAGCTACATTTGTCCTAACTCATTTAGCCTCAAACTAACTAAAAACTTAGTCGCTTGAAACTAGCGATTCAATCTTAGTTTCCTGTTTCGACAAATATCACCCTATGCAAAAGAATTTTGAAGTCATTTATAAATACAGCTCCACGGCCGCCTTTTTTAAAGAAAAACAAAACAAATAAAAACTTGCATGAGGTCATCTATGTTTTTGTACACATCGCAGGTCTTTATCAATGAAGACACTCGTAACATCATATCGTAAAACGTAATCGTTAAACGAGAATTCTTGAAATCCTTAAAGTCGTAATAATTTTTTTCCATACCAGGTGGATGGGCGGGGAGCAGCGTTCCTTGACTACGATAATGACGGAGATCTTGATCTCATTCATACAAATGGTTTTGATGACAGCGAAAGCACAGACTTTGATTTCTTACACCACACTCCATCTTTGTTGTACGAAAACCATGCTGACTCAGCAAACTCAACTTTCTCTTCAGTGGGTGAAAAGGTGGGTATCACAGACAGACGTGATGGCAGGGGACTTTTCGTGTTCGATTACGACAACGATGGAGATCAAGACGTATACATTGTCTCCAACTGCGAAAAGCCAGTGTTCTATCGCAACGACGGAGGACACACGAGAGACTGGATACGAGTAAATGCGTTTGAAGCCGAAAACAACCGAGTTAGTATCGGAGCATGGGTCTACCTCCTATCCCCGAAATTTGGTCGAGAACTTTTCCGCGAAATTCGCAGTTCATCTGCGTTTTCTGGTCAAGGCGAAAGCACGGCTCATTTTGGTCTGGCACACGAAACAGTAAAAAAATTCACTGTGCGCGTTTACTGGCCTGTCACAAATAATACACGAGTTATTGAAAATGTTCCACGACGAAGCACTCTGAACGTTCGCGACATCAAGGGAAAACATAACACCTTGCAGATGAATTCATATCCCGAGCAATCAGAATGTCGCAAGATACAGGTGACGTCCATTGAAGAGTATCCAAGGCATGGTAACGTGACGATTCATCATAACCACGTGACATATTATCCAGCTTCCGGTTACAAGGGTTTCGACAGTTTTTCATACGTAGTTAGTGATGGGATAACATCATCGGTGGGTGAAGTCAAAATTGAGGTAAGAAACACACTTATAGTTTAGAGAATGACTAACAATCAGAGAACGCAGAAGGTTGAAGAATGGGGGGAGGAATTGTTCACATATGCATGTTCTACTTTATTTTTTTTGATTGAAATCGGTTGTGATTACGAATATATGAATATGATCCACCACTAACCATCGATCATTTGTGGTATTCGACAGAAAGTGACAGAATTATGCCAAACAGGCGTGATTGAAACATTTACCTTTAGAATTCACCAAAAAATTCGTACCTATAAAAACAAAAAATCGTTTTACTTCAGGTGAAAAAATCGAATAATCACAACGAGCTAACGAAGGATTTTAACACCTGGGCGACTTTTAGTGGATTGGCAAACAATCAAAGAAATCCCAATCTTGGGAGAGCTCTCACTCCTCTATTACGGCTAGCTGCACCAGGTTACGGAGATCGGTATGAAACACCAGCTGGACAACATCGTCCAAATCCAAGAAATATATCGAACATTCTAGGAAATCAGAAGGCCGATGTCTACAGTCCATCTAATTTGAATCATATACACATTCACTTCGGTCAGCTCCTGGCGCACGACATTGATTTCTCAACGCCGTACGCAAACTCTCTACCAACTGAAAACTTTGCAATAAAGATTCCAAAAGGCGATCCCTGGTTTGACCCTTATTCCACGGGAACGGAAAACATGAGATTTCGGCGTTCTGCACATGCAGCAAACGCTGGTAAACATGTCGGCGTAGCACGTGAACAGGTAAATTATCACCTCTCTTTTTTACGCTGGAATGATTTCTTGAACCTATCGTATTTTGCAGGTCAACAAAGTGTCTTCCTTCATCGATCTTTCGGTCATATATGGCTCGGACGACGATCGTGCTTCCGTCTTGCGTTCAGGTATTGATGGAAAACTTCTAACTGAATCGCAGGAGAATTTGCCTTTTAATACAAAGCGGTTACCGAACCTCAACTTGCTCGGTGGACCACGTGAGAAGCTACTACTTTCAGGTGACCCTCGAGTGAATGTTCAGCCAGGTCTCATATGTCTTCACACGATCTGGGCACGTGAACACAACCGAATCTGCGATGAACTCAAAACGCAACAAGCTTTAAGGGATTACGATGACGAAACATTGTTTCAACACGCAAGATCCATAACACGCGCAAAATGGCAAGCCGTGGTCTGGTACGAGTTTTTACCAACAGTCGTTGGAGAAGAAAGATTCAAGCAAATACCATTATACAACGGTAAAACTTAAGAGCGTAGCAAACTCGTAAATTGGGGACATGGAAGGGGAGGAAAAGCATATGCATATATGAATGCTTAATAACTACAAAACAAATTGATTTCAAAGGAAAAACATGCACAAACGTGCTCCACAATTATCGAGTAGTTAGCTACGCCACTGCCAAGCTAATGAAATGGTCAAAACATTGTAGAAACAATCGATTTTATTGATTAAAATATTTGAACAAGAAAGCGACCATAATCCATCGTATTAAGGTTTTAAATACAGAAATGTTGCTACCATGTTGACAATCTTCAAATAAATGCCGCATTCAAAAAGATTTTTAGTAAAAAGATTGTTGTTGGGAAAATAAAATAACCACTAAAATTTCAACGTTTCATGACATAGTACGCACAGCCGACTTTTGTACGATGTTGCTCGTGAAGGCATCAATCTCGTAATAGTTTGTCATCGTAGACATCATTATCTGACAGAACACTGCACATAATTATTGCCTTTAGGGTACAACGAAAGCCTTGAAGTTGGTGTTTTTAACGAATTTGCAACAGCTGCATTCCGCTACGGTCACAGCCAAGTTGGTAATACAATGTTACGATTAAATGAAAACTGGAATATCTTAAAAGATGAAGGCAATCTTGATCTTCGAGATGCATATTTTAATCCAGGTCGTGTCCTTCATGAGACAGGTGGGTTGTATTACGCCAGCGTCTATATATTAACAGACAGCGATAAATAAAATTTTTGAGTAGCAACAAATTTAAAAAATATGTAATAAAAACAACTATTTTTTTAAAAGCAAACATGTTTCGACATTAACAAAATGCCATCTTCAGTGCGAATGATAGTGTTACGAAATATGGTACGGTATAGGAAGATACGAATAAATTATTCTATATTGAATGGGAGTGTGATCTATTTAAAGGAAGCTTAAAACAAAAATATATAGGTATTTACATAAGAAATGGCGATAAATGAAATTAGACCTATTTTAAAGTAAAGATAGTGTTGTAATGGTGAATGGGAACATTTAGATCAGGATTAGTTTTATTGATGTGAAGAGCTTCTTTGATTTTCAGAGAAAGTTGAGTCATGTGGAGAGTTCTTGTTAAAGGATAAAAAATCATCGACCAAGGCGAAAGAATCTTTAGCAGAATGGTAGTTAGTTATGAGGGGTTGGAGTAGTGAATTGAGGTATCTAGTTATATGAATTAATTGAAGATACTATATGGGTCTTATGGGAGGTACGTCATTAAGATTATTTAGTTTATAGAGTTTAGGTAGACCATATAATCGATCTGGTTGCGAACCTCAGGGAAACATTTCTTGAAAGAATCTTTCGCTAATGGAGTTTTTCGTCCTTAATTTACGTAGTAGTCGTTGTAGCTTTGCTTCGCGGAAAATCTTAGGGTCGTGAGGAAGTGGCTTGAATTTACATGTTTGTTAATGATGGTGTGGCAAGAATTAATGTATACCTGACGGTCCAAAATGACAATACATTGCCCTTGTCAGGTTTAAGGGCAATGATATCATTATTGTTTCGAATGTTGTGTAGAATGTTCTGTTTCTTTAGATCTTTAGGTGTTGGGCGGTAGGATGATACTTATGTGTGTGCCAAATGTCCAAGTTCCGTTTTTAAGGTTGAGTAGTCTTCTTGCTTGGAGAGTTTATTTCGTAATGTATAGTGGATTCGTTCGAATGTTGCCAGAATGTCTGAGGAGTGGAGTTTTGGAGATTCTATGCTGAAATTGAGACCATCTTTTAAAGTGTTAAGTTCCTCTTCTTCTTCATCATCTTCTTCAAAACTTTAAAAAGCAGAAGGGCGGCAGCTGTGGATGCATGTTGGCGAACAAAAGTTTTGTTTGACCCTAAAGGCTCAAAGGGGGAGTGTGTCGGAACTTGTGTAAATAGGTAACAGATAATTGTTATTTGATACTAAGTAAAATTGAGAATTGTGTGTCGGCTGCGCGTACAGTAGGATAGTATATAGTCCCAAAACGAATCGGCAGACGCATAACTGCTTTTAGCTAACGCGCAAAGGAGAAAATTGCAACAAAATGTTTGATAAGTAAAGGATCTATTCTCATAAACGCCGCAGTCTATTGAAGAAAAAATGATGAAAAAATCTGCAGCTAACAGAGGGTAATAACAACAACTGAAATAGTAGTAAGTAGTAGTAAGGAGCCTAGAGTGATTATTGGAGAGGGAGCAAAAGAGAGGCGTTTGTAAGAGGGGACGTTTATTTTGGCAATTAGAAACAAATATTTTACAGATAATACATTCAATGTTCCCTATAATTTTAGGTATTGATCCACTGCTTCGCGGCATGTTACGACAGCAGGCTCAAAATGTTGATACGCTGTTTGTGGACGCAGTGAGGAACTTTTTGTTTGGCACCAACACCCAAGGTCTAGACTTGATGACGTATGGCATCCAAAGAGGTCGAGATCATGGATTGTCTGACTACAACACAGTCCGTAAAGCATTAGGACAGCAACCTAGAACCTCATTCACGCAAATCACTTCGGATGAAGATGTACAAAGTAAATTAGAAAGTCTATATTCTAACATTGACGATGTTGATTTATGGATGGGTGGGTTAGCTGAGCCACATCTTCCAGGAGGTTGTGTTGGCGAAACGTTTGCCGAAATCATTTCCAAACAATTCCAATTGCTTCGCGATGGCGATCGCTATTGGTTTGAAAACCCTTTCTTAGAGCCGACAAAAGATCGCATGACGAAGTACAAGCACACAAAACTCGCCAATATCCTCGAAAGGAACACCGCCATTCAATGGAAACATAGATCTTTTTACACTGATATCACCGAAAATAATTTCATAAACAAGAAAGTTCGAATTTTTTGTAAATTAAGTTCGAAGTTGTGAGAAAATTGTCGACTTGGTGCACGTGGTCTTGTAAAAACATATTTATAATTTACGTCTAGTTTAATCAGTTCCGGTGTCACAAGAAATATGTCCCTAAGAATAGATCCTCGCAAGCAAATCACGTAGGAAATTTGTCCTCCCCATAACCTGTGTAGCAGAGTATAGGTGGATGTGATAGTTTTTCTGACTGGTTTGATAATATTTGAATAAACTAATTTATCTATTTAAATTATGTTTTAGGAAATGGGGCCCTCGAGGGTGGGGGGACAGATTTCCTACAAAATGTGGCCCAGGGGGGTTTCCTGGCACACCAGCTAATCAATTGTTTTGTTTAAGTTACAGTTCACTGGTTTGGCTTCCTATGGGTCAATATGTAAATATTCCAATTTTGAAACAATAGTCAATAAATTAAGTCATACCTGGACATGTTTATTTCCTAGCAAAAAAATAATCAAAAACCTCATACATCATTTTGTGAAATTCATTACAGCAAAAATACAACAACTAAATTAGACAGCAATGTCTCCACGGCAATAATAAAGTAGGTATGGGTCTCGGTTTGACAGTGGATTAAATACAAACTTTGTAGGTATGAGACGTACATTCATATCATCAGCTCTCAACCAGCCAAAAGCTGGATGCAAAATGTCAGATGAATAATGTCCCCCATTTAAATTCTTACCATGATGGTAAGTGACTGCAAACAGTTTATATGTTAACATATTCTTGTTACGAACTTTGTTGATTTTCGAAAGATTTTCCAATGAAACCTCTAATGTTTGTTCATAAGTTATTTTCTTCACTAATTTCTCACATCCATTTCTACCCACGATAAAGCGCTTGAGGTGCAAGACCAGTACAGCAGGCAATGTATCCAATGTCCACCTCTTGGACACTTCAATTTCGGCTTTACTTTTATCACACTGGAAGCCTTCAACCTCCTCAACTTGAAAGAAATTGTCAAATGCCTGCTGTAGTTTATTCAAATCACCACGGAGATCTAATGGAATAGTAAAGAATGGTTGAATGCTAGCCGATTCTTTCATCCCAGCTTGTACTAAGGATGATCTCAAATATCCACCAAACATGGCTGCTACAGGAGTTTTAGACATTGCAGCTTTACATGTCACTGTCGACTTGTTTCGTGGCCCAACTTCTTCCCAGTCTCCTGAAACTTGCTCCCACGCAGCTGGAACTTCTTCGGATAATGACCTTTGATCATTTTGAATTTTCACAATTTCTTCATGCAAACCATTCAAGATACAGCTGAGGAATTCCTCTGCATCTTCTTGCTTCCCTTGTTGTGAGATAGTTGTTTTCACTGTATGCAAAAGTTTATACACATAAACAGGTTCAAACGACATGCCCAATACTACCTCATTTTTACTGCTGCCATTCTGCAATTTCTTGGAGGTGATATTGGCGGAAACTTCAGAAAACTCACTGGCAAACATGACCAAGGCATCCAGAATAGGAGTCTGACTAACACCACGAGCAGTCTTAACTTTGAATTTCATTATGAAATGATAAAATGAAGGACAATATAACAGAACTTGTAATGTGGAATTGATATAACACCAGTTACCATTGTTCTTCAACCCTCGAGGTTGCAGCAAGGGTACTTTGTGACTCAACGAGATACTTTGCAAAACATCCGAAAAATACTGAGTCAGTTGATCCGTATGATCGTTTGAGACGCTGTTTTGATCTGGAGACAACTTATTTTGATGATTTTGAACGGGAAGAGGCAAGGGTTCTTGTTGTTTACTCGACGACTTTGTTTTAAAAAGATCTGCCCAAGAGCTTTTTACAGTTTTATTACGAGATTCGACGGTTCGTGTAGATGTTGTCAACATAGTTTTTGTTCCCACAGTAACCACATAATTCTCTTTATCAAACAAATTGCTTTTATCCCCACCATTTTCATAACTCGTATTCAAATTGCTCAAGTTTGAACCATTGCCATTAGAAAATTCTTCTACCTTCACATTGTTACTTTCAAAAGTTTGACGCTCATCGTCGTTGTAAATTTCATTTTCAAGGACTATAACCTCGTTCGTTTCTAAGCTCGTATGATCAGTGCTACGCTCGCATAAATCACTAAATTCGCTGGTAAGGTCTTCGCCCGCATTCTGCTTGACTTCATTCGATTTTCTTGCAAAATTTGGCACATGAAAATCCGGAGGAAATTCGATGCCACTCGACTTAACAACCTCGTCAGAAAAGTAAATTAAATTCTCATCCTCCGTAAAATCCCCAAAAGTTATGCATTGATTGCCTTCCATAATTTATCAAAAAATAATGCATAACTTTGTGCGACAAACTATTAAATCATGATAGAAAAGTAGAAACACGTCTTTGTAACTATCGCCCATGTGTAGTGAGTAGAGAGAATGAAGGACGGCATTCTGGGGTATGAAACTCTGATCTCTGTATAGAAAGCTGGATAGTGTGCAGACAATCACCAATCACATGTTTTCCGAACCGAATAATACCCACCCAGCTTGAAGTTGAAGCAATACCCGAATAGCATTTACTTGTGAGCAATTTTGAGATAAGTACGCACCAATGCACGCAAATTTCCAAAATCGGATTCACAGTTCAGGGGGACAAGACTACCTTCAATTCTTCAAGATTGCATTATTTGAGTTTTTGACTAATTTGAATTCTGTCCAAACAATATTTACATATGATCAATCTTTATGTACACAACGGACGTTCTACTTACTGGAAGTGTTTACTTTCCCACACTGCTGCCCTAGACAACAGACACACACTAGACACTCCATTGAAACTTTTTATGTCGGGCACATTTTATTACGCATTACTGTAATACAGGTCAATTGTATTTTCTTACTAACAAAAATGCCGAGATGGCTGCAACAATAGTAAAATATGCTGATACTTAAAAACATTTAAAGTCGACTCCCCAGACCCAGGGGCAAAACAAGCCGGATTTTTAGTTTTGCTTTGTTCCGCTATTAGATTTCTTCACCAAAAAAATAACGAATGAAAATTAATTTCCACCAAAACGAAGAATAACTTTGCCGAATTTCTCACAGCACAAGGCAAACACTAGTTACTTAGTGTGTTGGAAGGGGCACGGAGCTAACTGTTGACTTTCGGGGGTATAGAAATGAATACACGGCGTATAATTTCGAGTTTGGGTTGGAGAAACGCATTTGAAATTACACTGTCAATGTTATTTCATCATTCAAAGTCCAGTAAAGGGCCTTTCGGACCTGTTGAAAATATTGCGGAGCATAGTACCAGATCCCGCTTGCATGACTCGCACTTACGGACTTCAACAGCGTCATATTTTGGGGGCGCATTTACAGTGACGACCCAACCCCCTTCCCGAAAAATTTATTCCACAAGGACATTGAAAAAAATATCAGGACCCTTTCCCAGTGACTATTAGAATTCAATCAACATTACAAAATATATACTTTAGAAAATACATTATATTAGTGACAATAACAAGAAACTCACATGATAAACATTTATTATAGTTAATTATTGAAGGTCCAAGTTCTTGGAGGAGATTGTTTGATTATTTCATTAACTATCCAGTCATCGTCAATACCTGGTGTGCATTCCTTGCGAAAACTATAATAAAGAAATTGTTAGAGTGAAAATCTTTTTATTTCCCATTACAGTGGTGTAACAGAATTGAGAAATATTTTGCAATATCCAAATGCAAAAACCAGCGTTCGTGCGATCGAACTTTTCAATATGGCAGAGTTTAACAAAAGACAAATTGTTTTGCATTCTTGCTTCGTAGACGGCAACTACGTAGAAAAAAAACGGAAATGCTGGGTAAGAAAATATTTTCCGAAAGAAAAATTAAAGGAGAGTATCATTGACTGAAAAAGAGCTAAGGTTATTTGACCACGAATACTTTTTCAAACAATTCAGAATGTTACCAAGTAAGTTTGAAGAACTGTTATCTTACGTTGGTCATAAAATTCAAAAGTCAGAGTCAATAAGAGAGCCAATTGGTGCAGCAGAAACTCTGTGCGTTACATTGCAGTTTCTTGTAACTGGTGATGTCCAAACAACAATTGCTTCCAGCTATCGAATCAGTCCTACATCCATTGGTAGGATAATCAAAGAGACCTGACCAATCATATGGGATACTCTTCAAAACAATGGTTGCCTTTCAGTCCCAAATAATCCAGCCCAGTGGAAAGCAATTGCTGAAGAATTTGAGCGCAAATGGAATTTTCCAAACTGCGTGGGGCAATTGATGGCAAACATGTTATGATTCAACCTCCCTCTTGATCAACAATTTTTAATTATAAAAAATTCCGCAGCATCGTACTGCTGACAGTGGTAAACGCAAACTACGAATTTACCCTGGTTGATATTGGGGATGCCGGAAGGCAGAGCGACGCAGGGGTTTTTTCGAGTAGCAAGCTGGGCCATGCAATGTGTAATGATTTGTTCAATTTACCAGCTTCACGAAAATTCAACGACACGACTACTGAATTCCCATATGTTTTTATTGGGGATGAAGCCTTCTCTTTGAAAACCTTCTTGATCCGCCCCTATCCAAGGTCCTGTCTCTGACTGGAAGAAAGAATTGCTAATTACCGCATTTCACGAGCACGACGTATTGTAGAAAATCCTTTTGGGATTTGTGCTGCAAGGTCTCGCATTTTTCGAAGACCAATAGTTCTAAAAGCAGACACCATTGTTCAAGTAGTAATAGCAGTTGTATCCCTCCACAATTTCTTAATGTCTGGCAGATCGTTTGGAAATTATAATCAGTATTGTCCCGTTGGCTATTTTCATGAAGAAACTGATAAAGGAATAACTCAAGGAAAATATAGAAATGATGCACTTGAACTGGATTTAAACCACTTTCCAATGCATCATCAAACAACTACTCACAAGATGCCAAAACTGTCAGGTTATTAAAATAATCGCTACTTTCCGTGACTATTTTAATTCAGAGCAAGGTTCTGTTCCATGGCAAAGGGCAATGGTGATGAGCCAAAGCAACTGGTTTGATGAGCAATAGGGCAAAATTCATTGACATATTTTAACACACAAATCAATTGATTATTGCCCATAATTTACAGCATGAATCATATTTCTTTATAAAATAACAAATAATATAAAAGCAAAATGTATATTTGAAATGTAACTCAACAAAGAGAACCACTAAAACTATGAACATATAAAATAGTTTTTGTTTGTTTTTGATGATGAATGAAAATTTTCAAATACAAAATATAATTTGTTACAACTTTATCTTCATCTGCAAATTCATACTTCATCAAAACTTGCTGTATTTCTATTTTTGCTAGATGGTTCTGTTTATCAGGCAGGGAATCCAAAATAGAGGTTAAGCATCGACAGAACAATGTATTCCATTTTCAATATGCATACTGTTTGGGTCATTTGAGTTTTGCTTTATCTTTGTAGTTTGCATCAGGGCATTCAGCAACAAATAATCAATGCTGTCCTTTCTATCAACTCTTTTTTTTTGAGTTACCACTTGGATCTTGGTTTTTTCTTTTGGATTCTTCTTTTTCTTCACTTCCACCTTCTCTAATAACTGTTGGACTAGATGACCTATCATTAGTGATGCTTTGATCATGGAATGAGACAAACTCAGCTGCATCAGGCACATTACTTTCTGTTTCCCTATTTACCAAGACATCTTTCAGAAAAATCAACTGCTCAAACAATCTGCACGTTGGTAAACGTCTGTGTCTAGCACCTGATCTTGTCAATCTGTCTCTCCTTTTGAAGCATTTAGACAATCCATCTCTTAGGCTTTTCCTGATACGTTTTAACCATACATCTATGAATTACACAATATTTGTTAAGAATTTATGATCAAATTACAGTACATGCTTCATATGCTTTAAATACAATGTATGGATTAATTAAGAAACTCAGTGAAGTTGAGTATTTACTCATTCTTCAACTAGACATTATCAATAGAAAAATTCTCAGGCTAAAATCAAGTGGTGTGTGTGTATTGAAGCAGAATTTATCGAAGAATTACATATTCATATTCCTTCTTACCATCTTTTCCCAATTTAGATGGTATTTCGCTCCAAGTTTGCCTCTTTTGTTAAGTTTCCTTTAATGCCGTGCATGAGGGATCCCACAAACATTAAATTTTCGAACCTCTTCCACAAGCATTTCTTCAAAAATCTTCTCTGACGAGTTTCCAATATTTTCGCATACCTCATCCGCCATTTTGTTTTAAAAAAATTCGCATTCGCCTGCCGATGAAGTCGAGACGATTTAAACTTCGAAGCGCAAACGCGCGCTATTCCAACATTTTGGCTTCACGCATGTTCTATTCAGGCTCTATTCGCCTTCTATTCACACCACAACCTCACTCAACTTTAAACACATTGAAAAATACCTCGAAAATAAGCACCCTCCTTAAAATAATTATCTAGGGAAAATAACTAGGGAATAATTTATTTAGATAAAGTTAATGATTTTAAGAACATTTGCAATATGTTTTTTGATACAAAAATTTGATCTTGATTCACTTTTTGGGCATCAACGCTGGCTCTTTTCGCGTATGACCGTGAGTTGCTGTGACTAGGTATAGTCCACCGAGCGTGACGTTCATTGGAAAACACGTAGAATTGTATAGTTTGAGTCAATAATAAATTGTACAATAGAACAAAAGTTGCATAAAAATACATTTCTCGACTTTGCTACAAAATCACTATAATCACAAAAATACCGCGTTAAAAAGCAGCATGTCCTTCAATGTACGTCACGGTGAATTAGACCCAGTCATAGCACCTCACGGCTAAGCACGAGAAAAGCCAACTTTAAGGCCAAAAAAGTCAAGGAAGATGAAATTTTCGTCTTATAGAATATACTGCAAACGTTCTTAAAATCGTCAACTCTATCTAAATAGATTATTTCCCTGAAGGTGATACAGGCACTTTAAGGCTACTAAATCCGAAAGTAATACGGGGGGCTACTTTCGAGATTCTGTGGTATCAATACATCAATTTGAATCTACCTAACGAATACATAAAAGTCCATGATAATTCTTCTGTGTAGTGTATACATAAAAGCAGCACCTGTATCGAATGATTCGTGGTAGAGGAACACCAATGGAGGATATCTCGTCTGCCTGAACATTATACTCATGATATATGCACGATACCATGACATAAAGCCATTTCCTTCCTTTCTCTGAAAATAAACTAAATATGACGCATTGAAGTTTAGAAAAAAAATGTCAAACAAAGTATCACCTTTTTCATCATAACGAAAACCAATGTCATGAATATTGGTCTGAATAATATTATCGGATGTAACACAGTATGATTCAATGGTATCTGTATCTTCGATTTGTTTCTTAACATCATTTATTGCCTGCAATCAAGAAAGAAAAGCATAATGTATTGAGAAAATATGACATTACAGAAGGTTTTCTTCTAAGCGCGAGGTCTTTATGGAAAAATATCGGACCGATGTAGCAATTTTTTGCACAGACCGAGCCCGTAGGGAGATTTGTACTAAAAGACAAAAGCCCGATGTTTCTCTGTGACAAGCAAGTAAACAAGGTAATTAAAAGTTTATTATTTGGCATCGTTTGACCTGAAACGAAGATTTCTCGTCCTCGCTGTTTCGTACGGGTTGGCTTTCACTCCTATAGTTTCCGTCAGTAAAAAACAAATCGCTCGAGATTGTATCTTCTGGATAACAAAACTCACTTTCCGAGTTTTCTTCCTTTGCCTCACATTCGTACATGTTTTTTTCGTTTTTGTAAAGGTTTGGTGTTTGCTTACATATATTGATAAATTTACGCGTAATGCACATCAAGGGAAACAAGTGGACATGCAAAAATTTTTTTGAGCCAATCAAAGCATGCAACTTTATCACAAGTGAACCTTGCCATATAATAAAAAATACATATAATCAGTCCGATACATCCCAATTACGTAATCAGGTACGCACATTATCCGTTAACAATCCCTTGAGGAGATCAAATTTTCTTTCATACACCAGAGCTGAAACAGTAATAATGGCCTAGGCAAAACAGAATTACAATTAATATGCATAATAGCTATCAGAATACTACTGTATATTCCATGTTTATTGGGATGGCCACAAAATCTTGGGGGGAGGGGGAGGGATGGAAAAATGAATCAATTAATAATTTGAAATTTGGACAGGAGTTGAGACAGGGGCTCAAAAAATTTTTAAAGTAAGTCAAAAAAAACCCTAAAAAACCCAATATGAAGTACATTCCAAAAATACAGGGGGGCAACCCCAACCCCTTACACTAATATCCACCACTGGGGTGGTGTAATCCATGGGTATCTTAACACACCAGGATTTTGATGCACTCTAAGACAATATGCATCAAAGATCTTTTTGAAATCTGCTATACTCTGAAATTTAATACAAAAACCTGTGGTGAGAACACTTAACTTAACCAGGTTAAAAGACTTTTATCTTTCATACAGTCTATTAATCAGAGATGAGCACCTGTAGAAAGTTGGTACACAAGCTTAAAGCTTTGATAAAAAGGGGTTGTTTGACTTGATTCCCATGAAGCTCCTCTCAGCAGCAAGGGGTACAAATATCTATAAATAGGGGGTTCATATTTGTAAATGCATGGTGCATGTACTCTGTAGAGAAAAATACACTTCAAAGAAGCTTAACACTGCATCTCGTGCATTTATAAATATACGTATATACGTATAAGCCCCACTAATTATAGATCTTCCTACACCCATGCGTAAGTAGTGTTGTTACTGTGCTAAAGGGTAAGCATACTCTTAAGTGAAAAATTCGTATTGTGCACCCGAGATGTGAGGAGCGCATTTTTTTGCTGAGATCGCGATTACGCCGTACGCGGAAAATTTTGAAAAGTACGACATCTTAACCAAAATATGGTGCAAAATTCCCACTTCAGGCGCGCAAAAACACGCAAAACGAAATCAGGATTGCAAAAATTTCCGTAAATATGATCTCGAATGCGCAGTTTACAAACTTTCTAGTCTGGAACATAATGCAAATCTGTAGCAAACCTGCTTAGCTCCTTCAAGGAATGTCTTTTCTTCAAAGTCTTTGTCGAAGTAAGAATTGACTAAGAAAAGCTTTACTTTATTTGACAACCACTTAAATGGTCCACGAGTTATTACAATTGACAAAGCCCTTTTTGACTCATTTTGTTTATTTGATGATGATGAAAAGAATCTTCTCCCGCAAATTTTACAAACATTGCTTACTTGGAAGGACTGCAAAAACTTTAGGCTGCAATTGCGGGAATCACTCCACAATAATAAGGCATCAGTATTTCTGCTAGAAAGCCGTAAAAAATAAGAAGATGTAGTATCAATCCACAATTTATTTTGTTGAATCAATGTTCTCAAAACAGCCGCCATGTTGAATGCTTGAATCGGTTGGCATTAGTTTTCATCTGCAAAATAGACGTGTGACGTCAGAAGCAAATTATAAAGATATGCATATTCAATTCCGAATTCTGATTTCCGGCGCACATATTCCTCACTTTACTTAGCTTGTAAAATAATAATAGCAGTCCATCGATAATTTTTTATTATTGATTATTTAATCAATCATTATGTTTCATTCAGTCAATTAAAACTATTCCAAATATTTACATACATTAATTTATAGTTTGAAGCAAATCACAAACAGGCCACACAGGTAAATACATAGTTATCAACTCAGTACACAAACATAATAACAGTGTAAAAACTCGAAATAATAAAATAGAAGCATGCAGATTATGGCAACCTGATAAGTACCTTACGTACTTGCATTGGCCTTAGTAATTACTATGGACAGTAAAACATGTCTCTTAATGCCTCACCATAATCTAGCTTAAGACAGCTGGCATGAAAATATTGTCCACAAGTATCACAGCCAATCCAGTGTTCACTTTCACACTCTTAACAAATTTTACAAGAGGAATCATCTTGCCTTAATTAGTAAGTATAGCATCAGCATATGTATAAATTTGACATTTCTTAAGCATGAACTTTGAAAAATAAGATGAAGGAACTTCTTACTCATTTATATCATCATGACAACTTCCCAAAAGTGCAGATGCAAGTTTTGCTCTTTCCTTTGATAGTTCAAACTTTAAAATGTTCCACTCATGCAAGACTTCCTGCAAACTGAAATCATTTCTAAAAGGAATGAGATTAATTAAGAAATGATTCTTGGTCTTGTTAAAGGGGAATACTTCTTGTGTATTTAAAACAGAGTGGTTTTAAAGTTTATACACTTACTACACAAATTAAGACTCCACATTGAAGCCATCTGTTTGAACACAGTGTTTTGGTTGTAAACATGCCCAATCCTTGCTTTTCTAACCAGTTTTAATGTCAATCACCTGAATGTAATTTGGATAAGATAAGTCGTAAAATTTGTGCATGTACTGACAGTGCAGTCTTTCCGAAAAATTTTTTCAAAGATTAATTTTTTTAAAGATTAATGGAAAAAGACCAATTTTTTCCACCTATGATTGATAATATCTGATGTTGTCAATCAATTGCTTTAGTGTTGGAAAGTTTAAACTTGTGATTATTTGCTGCTTCTGCCCATGAAATGGGTAGAGATACACTCTTTTGGCATTTTTTGTCAATCATCTCAAAAAAATGACAAACATATGTATTGATGCCTGGAGTAGCTTCCTTTTAAATGAGCCACAAAGCTCACAAACTTTGGTATATCACTTTTAATATTTCTATTCATTCCAAGAGAGTCCAGTGGTTATGGGTGATGTTCATTTGAGCAAAGATTTTTTCAACACCAGTGAAATTTTCTCCCATCCACAATCGCCTAGTGCTTGACTGTGACTGAATTATTTGACACAGAGTTGCATCGGCATAAAACGTCTCATGGTTGGACACATGCAATTTCCAGAATGTTGCTTCAATTACCTTAATTTGAAAAAGCATTTTGCCTGCATTTAACAAATTTTCTCTGTTTCATTGTTTTTAAGGTTACCAAGACTTCTCATTAAGAGAATAATAAGATTTCTTAGCATTACTTATACCTCATCAACTAGCCAAACAGGAACAAAGGTTGAGCTTCTTTCACCAAACCTGTTGTTCATGTTGTAGTCACTAGAGGCAGTAGAGTGCAGAGGCAGTAGAGTGCAGAGGCAGTAGAGTGCAGAGGCAGTAGAGTGCAGAGATCAGCCACATGAAGTTTGACCGGACCAAACTCAAGAATACCGGTTTGCAAACCCTTTTTACTTGCAAGTACTATTCTATCGTATGGATTCCGCGCTGATTTTACTGATGTTGATGAAACGATTTCTGAGGACACATTGCCAATATCTTTTTCTGGCTTTCTGGCTTCTAAAAAGAAAATGATTTTCATTAATTGAGTGTGCTTGCCTATTTTACTTTTTGCAATAACAAAGTCTTGCCGTTGTAGCAGTTTTGCCAGCAAGATTTTTTTGGTATGGCAAAAATCTCAAAAAAAATTTTGAAAATTCTCACCGTTCATTATTCGAGGTGCTTGTGCAAAAATCCATGCATGATTCCTGCTCTGGTGATTATACAGTCAGATCAATGGATGGATGTTCCTCCATTGATCTCTCCTATTAATAGTTTATTGTAATATGTGAGTTGACATAAAAATTCAATAACAGATTGGAAAACTATAAATTACTTTAATCATCTCTTCATCACCATCCATGCCTTTTTCACGCTGATGAGGGTTTTTCTTGTGTTTCCTCTTAGGGAAAGCTTCTTGTGAAACACCTTATGATAGTCAACAGATGCGACCTTTAATTTCTTTTTTCAGGACTAGATTTTAGAAATAAGCTATCAACTTCTGGGCACGTTGTTTAAAATTTTACCATAAGATTGTCGATTATTGAGACGCCATCACGAAGTGCTTTTACATCATCAACCAAAAATGAAAGGTCTTTTAAGGCCGTTAGTTTCTCTTGAAACTTTTTTCTAATTTTTCCCAGTCGACGACACTGTTAGCTCTGTTCTGGGGCTGTACACAGGTATTTGAGTGATTGGATCAGAAAATGATTTATTGTCATAGCTATGCGTGTGAGACGCAACATCATGAGAAGAGAAAGCAGTTCCAAGTTGAAGGGGCAAGCTATCAGTGTCAAGAGTTATAAAGACACTTTCTCGATACGTCTCTGGCAAATTGCAAAATTGCCATTTTGAAAAGAAATTAAAGACTGCGAAAAAGTGCTTACATGAATAATTTTATCGTCGCCAAGATTCACAACTGCAGCTTGGAAGTAGAAATTGAACAAGATTAAACAGCTTCTTGTTTTGGGAGCTTTTTATTTGAAATCTTCCCTCCTTCAGGTTTATACACAAACTTATTTTTTAAGCACTGCTTAACAAAGTGCGGTGGGCGATTTTGTAAATAGTTGTGAACAATTCGATTATACTTTCGGTAAGAACTGCTTAAGCGAAGGTTTGCGCTCAAGTAACTTTGGTAGGAATCTGGTAGAAATGATGATACAATCATGACGACTATACCATGAACAGATTTGTCGATTGATAAGGGAAAGTACGTGTACTTGAACAGTCTGTTTAATGATTCGACGCCGTTGTTGGTTTTAACGATATTTAAAACTTGCATTTTTCGGAATCCATGGCACGAGCGACGTTGACAAGTCATCCACGTACTTTCTAAGTAGTGCCTAACGTTTTCGTTCGTGACGTACAAGTTAGAATGACGAAGACTTGTACGTCATCATGAAATCTTTCTATTGTTGAAGCATCACCAATTTTTGTCATTGCCGTCTAGAAAAGTCTTTGTTGTTTTGGTTCAGCTTATTTCTCCCTGCTTTTACCCAACGTTGTATGGCTTGTTGACGATGAAAGTCACAAATGTAGGCGAAAGCACCTGGGAAGCATGATTCCAATGTCCCTATTTCTGCAGCAGAAAAATCATGAAGTACTTCGGATTCCATGCAGGACTCCATTCTTTCAAGATATTCATTGCTCTTGATGAACGAACAGAAAATTATTTACAGGATTCCCGAAAAAGTTTGATTTGCCTTCACGAGTACACAGAAAAAAGTTTGACGTTTCTGATGACAATTTCCACCCGGCTATTATTCGTAGCAGGGATTCCTGGTCGTCGCTGTATTCTTCTGTCGAGGCAGCAACTCTAGCCACGTGATTACGTATATCTTTGGTTGGATAATATCGACGATTTGTCATTTTGGGCTTTGTGTGCTCTGGTGTACCAGCAAGCAACTCATTTTGTACTAATTCTTCAAGAAAACGTCTGACTTCTGGAATCGCTGATATATTTTTGTTTGCTAGTTCGTGAATTCGTTCCACGATTCTTTTGTCGACGATTTGGTTGACCATTGCATATTCTACAACTGGATGGTTAACATGCTTTATACTTAAGGGTACTTTTAGGTAGTGTCGAAAAGATTTTGATATTCTCTCGCCAGAAGAAATCTTTTTCTTAAGCTCTATTAATTTTTTCTCTTTAGCTGTCCTAAAGCTCGGGGTGACGAAAAACTGCCTGATGATTCAAATTCATCGTAAATATTTATGTGACGTAGTTGAATAACAGTTGGGCAATTTAGTTTTCGCGTTCCATGAAGTTTGAGTCGATAGTTCTTTCCATAATTATGGTCGTCTGATGCTCTTGGTTTCTAGTCACCTCTTGATTCCTTAGTGATAAAAAGACAAAGGAAAGTTAAAATTTTAAAAATATATGTATATAATGTTCAATAGTAAGCTTTTAAGACCAATGACATCCTGACATTAAGTGATGAAAATAATTTCAGCTTTTATAACGTAAACTATAAATACCTTTTCTGAACCATGTACGCACTGCCTGGTTTCTGCTCCAATGATTGTAAATGGCTTCCCAAAATGATAAATTGCAATATTTCCACGCTTATGAAACAGGTTTTATAAGTGAGTCATTTCAAAGTTTGGAAGAGCAAGCAAAATTGGACAAAAACAAGAAAGATTGTTGCCTGGTTTTGGATGCAATGGCCATCCATATACAGGTTCAGTGGGAATCAGCCAAAAACCAGTATAGTGGTTTCATTGATTATGGACCATTAGAGGCCCCCCAAATTGTTGCATCTGAAGCCCTTGTTTTCTTACTTGTTGCATTACAAGGTCATTGGAAACAGCCAATTGGATACTTCCTTATAAACAAAGCTTCTGCAACTGTGCAAACACAGCTTATCAACATTGCACTGGTGAAAGCAAGTGATGCTGGTCTGAAAATATGGTGTGTAACATCAGATGGGACGACGACCAACATCAGCACTTTCAAGAAACTTGGATGTAATTTTGGCAATACCTATGATTCAATTTCACCAAAGTTTCAACATCCTATAACTGGCAAAGATGTCTTTGTCGTCTTAAATGCATGCCATATGCTAAAACTTGCAAGAAATGCATTAGCATTTCTTGGTACAACCTGTTCAAGTGATGGAGAGCAAATACAATGGAACTTCTTCCACACTCTTAATTTACTGCAAGAGCAAGAGGGCCTAAAACTTGCCAACAAATTATCAAATAACCAATCCAGTTTGAGAAACACAAAATGAATGTGAGTTTGGCAGCTCAAACACTCAGTGCCTCAGTTGCAGATGCCATTGATTTCATGAACATAGTCCAAAAACAGTCAGAGTTCCAAAATAGTGAAGCTACTGTTACATTTATCAGAAACATTGATAGACGTTTTGACTTACTAAATTTAAGGAATCCTCATGGTAAAGGTTTTAAGAAACTATTAACATTGTCAAATATGAGTGGATGGCAATCAATTCTTGAATCATCAGCAAAGTATTTGCTTGGTCTTACATGAAGGAGTACCTATTATCAAGCATCCTCGCAGAACATTTGTCTTAGGATTTGTAATAAGTATATAGTTCACCTTGGAAATGGTGAAGCAGATGCTAACATTGCCAGAAAATCCATGTAAGTATTTATCACTTCTCGATTTATCACTTTGATTCACTTTCTGTGAACCTTTTCATTCCAAAAATTTGCTCTGTTACCTGTTTACAAACCGCTGACCATGAGTCATCACGTGATCAACACCATAAGTCATTGCTCTAATCAACTCTGAGCACTTACGTACCGATACCACTTTGCTCAGAACAAAACACTATCAATTTCTTACACCTTTAGTACACACAGAAAATTTTGCTGTAAAATGAAGCAAGATTTTGAGAATTTAGTTTTCTTGGTATGTTATCTATTTTTTCACAACATTTGATTTTCCAGATATTGCAATTCTATTCATTCGTGTTTGTCTATTGAACTATTTTCAGGATCAATGCGAGGCAGTGCTGCTGGTTGAACAGCTAACGTCACCTGATACTAATGTTAGTCTTACTGCTGCACGGTATGCATTCGTGGATAGCTACCTTGAAAATATTCAATTTAATTTCTCATTTTTTGGTGCATTGAAGGACAATAAAAAATATTGTTATTGGAAACAAGGCAAAGAAGAAAGGTTTTATTGAACTTGACATTGCAGCAAGGTTAGCCTGTTCTATAAATCCAAATGCAAATGAACAGTGATGATACTTACAATAAATTTTCTTTTTTAGGCTTGTCGAACTGTTACAGAAAGTAGACACAAGTATTGAGCTTGCTGTAGAGGCAGTTATTATCTTAGGAACTCTAGCTAGAGGTAAGAAAAGTCAATGTGAAAGTATCGACTCAGTTATAATTGCAATCATTTTGCCATTTGCTGTTTCAGTTGACGATGAAACGACACAAGTTCTTCTTTGCCAACCTATAATTCCTTTGTTTTTGCAAGGTTTGTCTAAGTTGTGTTATGTTGATTCATGATGTAAACAATGTATTCATTAATTGCAATGTTTTTCAAGGGTTGAGAAACTCCAATAGATTTCTTGCTGAAGCATGTGTTCGATCATTAAGAATATTCTATACTTCCGATCAAACATCTCCAGATGTTATATACGAGGTAAATCCTTTGTTCAAGTGCATTGAAACCTCTTGTTCAGTTGTATGTTGGACTTAGATTATTGTGCACCAAGTTATAAGCCCAGTTTGGTTTTATAATATTTATTAATTTGTCTTGAGTCAAAACAACTTCAGCCTCATTACAGTTATTGTGTAACATGAAAATATATACAACATGATATTTAGTTACAAACTGTACTTGGAGGAATCACATTACTGTGGATGTTAAAATTGCAATGTGGAGTATTGTAAAGTGGGGTGGGGTGTGGTGGAACTGCTTTGGGCATGAAGTAAATAGTAATTGGTATAACTACTAATAAGTATAATTTGTCTGTAATGAGTAATTAATCTGAAATTGGTTTGTAATTAGCCTGTAATTAATGTGTAATTAGTGTGAAGATCTCATGAGTCAAGAGGAAATGTCACTCGCTTAATTATTGTAAAAGCAAACCGCAAATTGCTTTTTCAAAAACAATCTTGTTGGGCTCTAACAAAAGATCTTTTTTATTTGCAGGATCCTTCTAACATCACCTGTTTAATCCAGCTGTTATATGGTACTCACTTTGATGCTGAATGTTCTGCTCACATATTGGCTCGTTGTCTCCAGGTATAAATTATTGAGCATTTTGTTAATGGTGGGCTAATGATCGATTGTAATCATAAGTTGATTGAAAAGTTCAAGGTGATGCGACCATTGAATATGCCCCTCCATATTTTATTTAGTTGTTGTGACAAAATTGAAATTCAAAAAATTCTAATAAAAGTATCAAAATTAGTAATGAAAATTCACTATCTCATTGTGATTTGTCATATTTTATTAACTCCTGCATAGCTTCTAAGTCATAGCAGTGATTACTGACGACATTAAGAACAGTTTAAAAACTTCAAGCAATCCTTCTGGCTTCTATGAGTCAAGAAATACATGGATTGGTTTTTGGTAGATTTTTTTGTTTATAATTGATGATTGATTGGTATGGCATTGTCATTGATTGATTATTGTTGTGAAATGTTAACTGATCTCCCACCATACATTTGACATTTAGTTGGTTTCTTTATTTCACATCTTTAATTTGTCAACCTTTTAGAACTCCAGTCATCAAAGATTGCTTGCAAGAAGTGGATTGGTTGAAGCCTTGGTTCCCCTGGTAGGTAGTGGTTATCCAAAACTTCAGTTGCCAGCACTACAATGTTATGCAGCATTATCATTGGAAAACGAAGTTATCGCTGACATGATGAAAACAGGTTTCTTTAAATGAGCGCCACGATCTAGAAATCTTGCATATTGACCTCTTTTAAGTTGTAATTTTTCCTCGTGAAATTTCAGCTACATTTAAGAATGCAAGTCTAATTGAGGTGTTAAAGCAACTCTTGTCTGCTGATAATCCCGATGCAATAAGACTCTCGTCTGCTAAATGGTTAGTAAAATACATCACTGAATGTGCGTATATCCCAGGGCTAGCAAATACTACTCATTACGTAGTATACTTGATTAATTTTAGCTTAACAAATCTTTGCCGTGCTGGGGCTTTTCCCCTGAGCGATCCGATGGTACGACTAAAGGTGTTACCCTGTTTAGTCAAACTTTGCAAAAGAGATAAGGGAGTTCATATCCGAGCAGAAGCGGCAGTGGTTTTGGGTACAGCAAATTTCAACTGCCTTTACTAGAGGTTAAACACCAGCCAAACTTTTGAGTTTTATTGCAGGGTATTTAATCGAGGAGGATACAAGTCTTCAACAGACTGCTGCTATAGCTGATCATCTTATTTCTACATTGGCAAGCTATCTTTGGAAGAATGATATAAATGATGAAGACTATGCAAGAATGAGAGAGGTGATCGCTCACTTGTCGAAGTCTCAAGCAACTTAGGACTTAATGATTTTAGATATTTTTTCTAGGCTTCCCTAAAGGCATTTGCTTCCCTTGGAGCTAGTGATGAAGACATACGAAAGAGGGTACGAACTTGTTTTCTCTTCTTTTTTATTTGTTAAGGAGGTATCGAAATTGTGTTTTTTCCCATGTAGATTATTCATACAGAATCCACAATGGAGCATGTGGTTTCCGGTATCGAAGACCCTCGAACATCAGTTCAGCTTGCAGCAGTAAAATGTCTTCATAGCTTATCAAGATCTGTTCAACAACTGCGGACTACATTTCAGGACAATGCCGTTTGGAAACCATTGATGAACCTTCTACAACAATCATCAAATGAAGTTCTCAAAGTTGCATCTTCGGCAGTTTGTAATCTCCTTCTCGAATTCTCTCCCAGTAAAGAGGTAAAAGTGAAACTCTGATTCTTTCACAGGTTTATCATGTTTATTTTCTGTCCTTTTTTTTTATCTGTGTTTGAATTGTTTAGTCAATTCTTGAAGCAGGAGCAGTAAAGCTTCTTGCCAATCTTACAAAGCATGATGACGAAGCTTTGCGATTAAATGGTGTTTGGGGATTAATGGTATAATTGACTCTTTGACTCTCGATATTCACTTTTCATTAACGCATTGTTTTAGTCTCGTGTATCATTTTAGAATATGGCATATAAATCAGATGAGAATGTGAAAAGTCAAATTTTGGAGGAACTAGGAACAATAGAACTGTTCCGGTGAGTTAGGCCATGCCAAAAGTTTTATAATATAATATATACGTAAGTAAAGCAAAAAATAGAGAAAAAATTCTTTTGATTTAAATAGTTTGATAGAAGACAGAAACACTCAAGTTGTCATGAAAACATTGGGATTGATGAGAAATTTGCTTTCTGGGAGTAATGTGAGTTCCTGATTTGAACAAATCTGCGTTTCTGTCATACTAGTTTTTTTGTCACTGTTTTACCCAGAATATTGACCAAATCATGGCTATCCATGGTCGAGACATCGTATGTTGCATACAACCCATAATTGATGAGAATAGTTCTCAAATATGGGAGGTGAAAGAACAGGTGATAGTAATTTCATTTTTACTAATGGAGTGTCGTAAGTTTGAACCATAGAAGTTCTATGTATAAAAAACAGTTAAGTGATTGAAGAATAGCAAATACAGCTTTCAAATTCACTTCCAGGAACATAAACTGGTGAATGACTTTCCAGTGCTTCAACTTGCCAAAAAATAATCCTATTTTTTATTATTATTTTCCTTGATACCGTTCAGCGGGCCCCTTGGATGCTGATTTCGGTGCCGTGGCTCTGCCCACTCAGAGCTCATAGCAGTTAACGATATACCACTGTGCTAGTGCGTGTGTGCTAATAACAGTATAATAAGTTTTATCAGGGGTGGATTTACGTAGGGAAGAGGTGCAAAAGGGTACCAATCATGGCTTCGGCTCGAGGGGATGCAGGAGTGCCAATTTGTAACAAAGTATTATTCCTACAATTGCTAGTAAATACAATTTTCATTTGTGTTTAGTGGAGCACACTTCCAAAAACAAAAAACTGACATGCTTTAGCAAAAAGTAGCCAACTATGTAGAGCTCTTCCTCTCCCCCTACAACGCCATTGTGAATCCCATCGCTGATAATATTTGCTGTTACTGCTGTTTGACCATAAATCATTTCGGTTTCTTCCATGACTTAGAGCAAGACATCTTGCATTTTTTAAGCAATATCTTACCCACTTAAAGGCATGAGAATACAACACTTATCTTTTCAGGTGCTGTGCATTATTGGTAACATTGCAAACGGACAGTCATCAAAAGATCACATAATGTCAGACGAAGGTCTTTGAAGAAGTTAAAATATTATATTGGTCAGGACAATGTTAAGTTAAAGATGGCTGCTATATATTGTATATCAAACCTTGCTTGGAGTTCAGAGGAAGGTGCACAAGAAAGACAAACCATTTTGACAAATATTGAATACGTAGATTGTTGCAAGAACTGTTAGCAACTTCTGATACATTATTATCCGATAGGTAGCATTAGCAAACTTGCATTGACTTTGATGGTTTTCATACTTTATTTCATTTTCACACTATATTCTCTTTCAGGGTGAAAACAGCACTTCAACAGTTCACATAAAACAAATATAATCATATTTAAGAGCATGAAAAATGAAAAATTGCAGGCATGTATTAAAAAAATGAAACTTTGACAGCATTTCAACATTGTTTTCTTGTGGCGTAAAGTTCCACGACTGAGCCTTGATATTTTGTTAGAATGACCGCGCTCACAATGAGAGACATCTATCTAATAACTGGGAATTTATAATGCAAGCTTCTTTTCATGTACAAAATCAGGTCAGAGTGGTAAAGAATGATAAATAGGAATTGCAAAACTTCTTTTCATAGGCCATTGTATGTCGTCTGTGATGACTTCTGTTTAATCAATTTGAGAACAGCTTAAAGGTGAAAGGAAATACTTTTATAAGTATATGTACTTATAAAATACATAATTATACAAAATACATATACATACACTTATGTAACGTATGGTATAATTCAGTGCTAAGATCTACGCACGACTAACCTTCCTTTTCCTTGTCATCTAATGTGCCTCTTGGAAACTCGACATCAAACGTTATAAATAAATCGCCAAAGAGATTGTTATTATCATAACTGGGCATTCCTTCCCCTTTCTTTTGATTGTGGCACCTGGCCATGTAATTTTTCTCTTGTTACATGAACCTGATAAAATGATATATAAGAACTGTTCTTTTTAAAAGACAACTGATTTGATCTTTGATATAATTTTGGAACAAAACTGGAACTATAAAAATCTGCTCCAGCAAAGCTTGCTTTTGCTATGACAATACTGTACTATAATATGTTTAGGTATATCTATTTCGGTTTAGATTAGGATTATTGCACGTAGTATTTTATTTATTTTTCATCACTTTGTGGATCACACTGAGATTTAGCACACTTGCCTTTTCATTCCGGAGAAGGTTTGTCAAAAATTAAAACATATGTTTTCGGACAAAGTTACTTTAATGCATAGTTTGTGAAGTCTATATGGTAGTCCCAGCTTGGGGCAAAAATAACAGAATTTCAGAATGAATGCAATGCAAACATAATGTGCAAGATGTAATGCTTCATTTTTGATTAAAGGAAAATTTTACAACATTTCCATTAGAAAATTTAAAAGTTAAACTAAAACTGTAGGGCATCGTGTGATTTGGTCTGCTGATTGTTCACGACGACAATTCAATATTCGATTGAGTGCGAATTTAATATCTGCAGTGTCGATGATTTTAAAGCAAGAGGGTGGATAGTTAGTTTTCAATGAAGGTGATTTAGTCTTTAAACCTTCTGCCCTATTTGTTGATTCAATTGCTTAATTTCGTTGTTCCTTGCTTCGTTTCGTAATTGCACTGCGTAATAGACGATAACATACATATTGCAAAGCTGTCTTGATTGCTGACATTTGATAAAGGAAAGATAAGAAACTTTGGGTAAACGCCAAGTCACAGAATAGAGACGAAACAGAAGCGCCACTCAGCGAAAAATCTGTCCCCTACTTGTACCCAGTTCTTAAGTGCGCATCTTTTGCGTCCGCCATTAGGGAGCTTTAGCAAGAGTACGAGTACGACAACGAGTACGAAGTTTTGACCGTGTAAGAGAATGGCACGAGGAAATTTGTTGTCGTTGTCGCTTCGTCAAAATTTAGTTTTAGCTGTAAACAACAGAACGAGCTTTTTATTGTGTAAAACACCGAAGTTTGCGAAGCAGCTACGGCTCTCTTTGTCAATAATGATATCAACGATTCGGTAATACTGATTTTGCGAGAATATAGGACTCTTTAGACTGAAAAATCTTCACTATTTTAAGTAGTACGATATATTTGTAGTATTTTATTCTTTGTTTACCTTTCACTTTGCGTACGAAATACATTAAAGTTTTGCAGGTCATATTTTCATTTTTAATGTACATCTGCGATAAAAATGGTTCAAAATTAAAGCCTGGATGCTCGAAAAAAATACTGTAAACTAATTTCTTACAGAATGAAGAAATATACCTACTTTCTTTGCTTAAAAAGACATCGTAGTCGCGACTACGAATTTTTTACAAAACATCGTACTCAGATTAATGACGGCTACGTATTTTTGTTGTCGCAACAATGTTTTCGCGCCAAAATGACGTAAATCGTACTCGTAGTCGTACTCGTAGTCTTTGTTAAAGCTCCCTATTACTGCAGCCAGATAAACTGGCCAGAATGTATATAGATTAATATTATGAAGAGTTGTTTTTCGAAAATTTGACGAATGTAAATTCACTTATGGACAAAATTTTTAATGCTATCGGACAGGATATGAGGTGAGAAACAGTTTTGTTGTAAAATACGTTCGTCAAATATAATTTTACGGTTTTTATAGTTTCTTGCCTTGAATTGTATGCGAGATCCATGTTTAGAATGTCTCTTACATTGAACGGCAGTTGCCCTAAGAATTTATAATTTAGGACAAAGGTAATAAATATATTTAGTGTGATTCCATTTCTGTATTTTCTAGTAAAGAGTTTCCTATTAGAATGGTCAATGGATTTGATAGAAGCGATAAAGCGACCTACTGTGCGTAAAGAACGTTCTTCAGATGAAGACGTTATTAGTATAGAATTTGGACTAAACTAATTTACATTTGATGCTTGAATCGGGGCTTTTTGTTTGCAATGTAGCTTGTCTGCATAATTGTAATTGAAAGTTTTTATTTGTAATTGTATATTGAGTTCATGTGGCTATCAAGTCTATCAAATTTGTATTAACTTACAAATAAAGATGTTTTTTTGTTGTCTTATTTTTAATAAACAATATATGAAATTACAATTATTTAAAGAATGAAGTTGTTTCAATTAAATTAACAACTTTGTCATTATGTCAAACATATTGTCAAGCTCCAACAGCTTAGCTCTTTGGTTAAACTTCACTTGTGAATTGTGACCAACAATTGTATGTGAAAATGATTAGAATTATGTTTGATTCACCACATTGATCAACCAGCAGAGAGAAATTATTGCAACAAAGGGCTCAAACATTTAATTTTTGCTAAAATCCATAAACTTCATTCAATAAATTAAAATTTCTATTGTAAATAATCATGTCACAAACAATTTATTCTGACAAAAACCAGTTATAGTTACTCTTAATGCCATTATTTAAATCTTAATACTTTACGCAGTAAAATGTTTACCAAAAGGTGTAACACAGATAAACCAGAAAACTTTTTTAAAACATTTGACAACAGGGGGAAACTGTGCCAAGTCAACAACAATCCAATTCACAAAAGCATTCAGGAAGCTTTTTTATGTTCACTTCTCACATCATCAATAAGCATCTATGTCAAATATATAAGTAATCTCCTGATTGAGTTTAAAAAGGCAGAAACAACAAAGTTAAGTCATGTGGACCATATGACAGTATATGTTTTACAAATTGCTATTCAAGCACTCTATTGGTGGACCAACATGCTGCTGCTGTTCCAACTTGCTCAAAAAGTCATTCAAGCTTCACAAGTCACAACTGCGACGAATACAAAATATTTTGGCATCAAACGACCTTCATAGTGGCCATGCAGCATCGCTTCTGATATTTTAAAACACCTGGGTAGACAATTTTGGTGATTCGAATGTCCTGCCAAACGTTCTTTGCAATATATAAACTAACTGTAGGATAATTTGATTTGTCACTTGTTTCAGCCACGCCGGAGAATTCAAATGTTAGAACTAATATCTTCAAGATTCTCTGCAGAATTCTTATATGATAAAATTAAATCTGACGACAAACCATATACCGAGTACGCATCTCGTCAGATATATATCTACTTTGAAAATATTCCGAATAAACCCACATTTATCAAAACGGACGTCGAATTAATGGATAAATTGTTGAAAGCTTGATGTGTTAACTGCATCCACACAAAAACTATTAAAAAAATGGCCAATCTATAGAAATATTTGGGTTTATTTGCCAAAACCCATCTGTAGAACTATATATTATATTACGATCTGACTGCACTCATCTGGCTGGAAACATGGCCGCCGTTTAAAATACCCGGATTGTAGAACTCAAAACAGGGGACACCAACATCAAAGGTTCCGACATCGAGTGGCGCTTCTGTTACAATCCTTATTCTGTGGCCAAGTGATTTACAATCGCACATCAGATCTAGTTCTGCTTTCGCTGCATGCGCGGCTAACCACTATGCTACAATGAAAAAGTTCCGTTGGTCGGTTTGTCAGTTTGTCTGTCGTTATCCTCGGAGATAGTCGGATGTACGAACTATGACGAGGAGGGCCGCGCGTTTGATATTTGACTAATCTGTCACGAATGACAAATGTTGTTTAAAACTTCGCGCACACTAGGAAATTTTGTCGATTACACTTGTCACGAATAACAAGTACGCGCGACAAGTTCACCAGTGTGCGGCGGACTTAGATCAATATGACAATGAATACAAGCGCACATATATGTGAACTGTGAAGCGTCTATTTGCGTACAAAGATCAAGCAGAAGTTATATACAATAAGTAAAGAATCGTCGGTGACATAATCCTGTGAAAATGTTGTTATTTTGAGAAATATTAACTAAATATTACGACTCAAAATTGACTTGTATAATATTGCCTGTTGTAAGTTATTCAGTCAAGCGGAACTAAACTTGAGCTCGATTCATCGATTAAACAAACGAAATTTCTTACTCTTCACAAATCTTCATAAAACAACTAACGTCTAAAAGTAAAAATATTATTCAAATGCTCCCTGCTGTGGCTGGCGAAGTGGCAACTCATGTATATAATACAATCTAATGTCTGGTAATAGGTCCAATTAGATATTATTTGCATTGCTTATACATCACTCGATTTACTCATCCAGACTTAGAGATTGACTTAGAGTAGTTTAATCAAACGCCGAAAGCAAATGAATTAATTGTGCTTTTGAATATTGTGCGAAAGACAAATATTATTTGTGTGGATTTACAATTTTACTGTTTTTTACATCTAATCAAATATGATACGTGTCAAACTATGAAGTCCATGAACAGGAAATAGAAAATACTTTCGATCACTTGCAATCATTGAGCAAAGCGTTTACTATCAAAAATTGTTTGCAATAAAAACAAAATCTTTGGAAATAAATAGACTTTTCAAAACACGACTAGAAAAAAGTAACAAAAAACACGACCCGTTGGCTCAAAACACAATTAATTCCCTTTATAATTATGTTGAATAACAAGTCATAAGCACGTCGTGGTTACCGTATTTGATCGAACAAGCGCCGCTCCCGACGCGTGGTGAGAAAAATTAAATTAGCACCGCTGCACTTGTTCTAAGTTCGAACAAATACGGTATTCATCGTTAGGGGGAACAACGTTCTCTGAACGACATCTAAGACACGTCAGAAAATGTTTTTAAAACACAACTAAACAAAAAATGGTTTTCAGTGGAAAAAAACCCTTTAAAAGTCGCAAGAAATCTAAATGTCGTTATTTAGAAAGCACGCCTCATAAATCTCATTTATGAGGCGTGCTTTAAGCTAAAGCGTTCGAAAAATCCAGAAATGTTTAAACAATTACTTGATTACATGATAGGCTAGCCACGTGTACGCAATGCGTACCTATTTTTTGAGTCTGGTCTTTTCAAACTTCCGAAAGTCTGATAGGAAAACCTTTTCATAATATAAATACGACAAGTTTTTTAAAATAAACAATGACATTAACACTTTCAAAGAAGCACTTCCCATTAACAAAACTAAACCTAATCTCAAAGTTCAAGTTTTTCGTTTTACACTATATTCAGCCTGTAAATACATTCATCTGAGCATTAATTCTAACCACTATTTCATTGTAATATAATCAATTATAGTATAAATTGTATCACTGTATCATATTACTCATGTATATATTTATCACATACATAATACTCTTTCTTATATACTGAAGATGGCATAATGAGATGTTGAAACATGTTTATTTAAAAAAAAACTTGTCGTATTTATTAAATGCGCTATATCAATAGTGCTTTTACGCAGCTACGTAATATTATTCACGACTTTATTCAATATTCATATCATCTAGAGAAAAAATATTACCTTATGCCCATCCAAATGTGCAACATCCATTTCAAAACCATTCAAAGCATCAACAAGTGATATTGTGATGTTAGTATGAAGAGTCATTCCATCACGATGAAACCTAGGATGTCTTTGTTCCTTTATGATGAACTTCAAGTCCCCAGGATCACCATCAATGTGCGGTTCACCTTAAACAGAAAGGTTAAAGTGTTGAGCAGTTCTAGTTTGACATCATGATAACAATGCTCAGTGCCTTAGAGTAGGTACCCAAAATATTCTAAAATAACTTTTTGATATAATGTGCCCATACAGGCAATCTCTAAAAATACTAACACTATGTATGCACCAAAAAGAACAAAGAAGTTGAGTATTTGAAGTAAACCAAGTATTTGAAGAAGTCGACAATGTTTAAATAAATAAAGGGTGCATATGTTGTTGAAAAGGTTGTATTAGCAGGATATTCCACACTTTAGTTGACCTGTTTATGAAGAAGGTTGATAATACATAAAATAAAGTTTGATCAGAAGGATTTATGTGCTAACAAAACTAGAAATTTCCAGCTACTTCTTTGAGCAATAGTGGGATTAAAAAGCATGGTACATTACAAAGAAGTGTGCTCAAACAATCTAATCACACTTGCCTTCTCCAACAAATCTGGAACATTCCTGACCGTTAATCATTCCAGGTTCTACCTCAACCTCTAACTTCTTCATTTTATTTACATATTTCACTGCAGGACATTCATCGCACACTTCTTCTTGGGCCATCTGAAATCTACCAGGGCCAAGTTGAGTTGTACGCATTTCCTGACGACAATTGCATTTCCTTGTGCCTGAAATAGTTTCTGATTCTGGCTTGTGTCTCATCATCTAATATGATATGACCAGCTCATCTCATGTTAGTAAAAGAAAATGAATGCCAAATCAAACCTAAATTAACTCACCTCAATAAACTCCCCAGCATATAATTCTTCTAAAGTCACATCAAGGTCCATCACAATATCCCTCCTTTAATCACGTCGATGGGAGTGATCAGATCCTCCAAAGTGAAAATTAAAACCACCAAAGAAACTACATGCAAATAAGAAAGAAAATGCTCAACATAAAATATTTTCATGTGAAAATGTGGAATAAAGTCAAAATAACTGCATTAGTCTTGCTCAAAACACCCTTATCATCCCAAATGTTTTCATGTCAAAATGTGGGATAAAATCACAACATCCATCCATACAAGTCTTGGTAAAAACATCCTTAAGTTCTCATGATACACCATCCATTTTACACTATTTTTGCCCTATATTTGAAATATAAATATTGAATTGTTCAATTGTACACAATGCTGATTTGTAAGTCAAATGGGAAGTGTCACACCTCTTACATAAGTGCTTAAACAGCTGATGCTTTCTATGAAAGTTTTAAATTAAGTCAATTTTCATTACAACTGAATATTTTTGGCATATCTTTGCTCAGGATTAATGTGAAACATTATTTCAAATAATAAAATCTATTGCCTCTTTATTCAATTTCGATATTTATAATGGAAGCAAAGACTTCCTTATCTCAACATTTTGTCTTAAGTTTTTCTCTCAAGTCTCCAGTTTTTAGGAATGAAAAAAATGAAATCTTAAGTTTATGAGTCTTTCAAGGTTGGTAGGCCTGTAATTTTAAAAGTTACATGTACAAACAATATAACTCTAAGGCAGCAAAAATAGAAATACCTAAATAAGTCATTCCTCCATATTTAGTGATTTTACCTGTTGAAAGAGTCAAATGGATCATGACCATTCTCTCCAGACATCTTTTTTAATCCCTCTTCACCATGAGCGTCATAAACCTTTCTTTTCATCATCAGAAAGCGCCTAAAAAATGAAAAAGCCGACTCCATACTCCTCTAAATCTAACGTGACCATCAGCATTAAGAAATTCGAAATGTCAAATCCCATTTTCAATCAACTCTTAGAGAGAAATACACGCTATCCTACTTCGTACGCCGTACTGAGATCTTGAAACATCTCGTGAGCTTTTTCATCGTCAGGATGCTTATCTGGATGCCATTTCATAGCAAGCTTTCTATAAGCTTTCTTTATTTCTTTTACTGGCGTTTTAGACACGCCAAGTATAGCGTAAAATCTCTTCTATAAAAGAAATCCCTTTCAGTATCGACCGCACAGCTCATCATTTTAATACAAATCTGATAAACCTACCCGGCTAAAATATGTAAGCAAAAACCGAGAAGAAGGTAAACAATTCTCCATTTTCTGACTGTGTCCACCATCTTGCCAGGTTTTGAAGTGATGCAGACGCATAACTGACCAATCAGAGAGCTGCACCTGTCATGCCGCTCATGCAGCAGCTCGAAAGATCTGTTGGGCGAACTGAGCATGTGTGGGCGAAAGAGGTGAGGAGGGAAAGGTTGGATAAGAGCTATGCAATTCAAACTACGACACGCAACGAATTTATTAAAAAATCTCAAAAGCACGAGTTTAAGAAGTAGAAGATAAAAGGAGTTAAATAGGTAATAGTTCGAGAACTGGGTATGTTTTATATTGGCGTCCTGAGAAGAACTTTTGATATAGGTGTTGACTAAAGTTTCGACAATCTTAGCAGGGCTCATCTTTACTTTAAAGATAAGAAGTGAACTCTTAATATTGTGAAAAGGTCAGTCATCACCAACAGCAGCAGTTTTTGTCAGGAGTCTCCACTAATCTGGGACCGCTTGTATGAAAGGCGCTTAAACCATTGATTTCTATTAAACTAACTGGATATACAAGGGGGCGTGGAAACTGTCTTCAAAAACATGGATGCCAAAAGAAAATTTTGGACGAAAAATTCCCACTTGAAAAATTATTTTATTTTTCATTCCCTCCTGATTTCTTATGCAGCTCAATTCATAATACTAATACAATCAGTGGCGTAGCTAGCGGTCATGCTGGTCATGCTCAGCATGACTAAAAATTTCCACAAAAAGTATTTTGTTCTTATTAGAGTCATTGTAGATTCTGATGTCTAATTGTTTCTTATTTACATATAAGTTTTTGGGACGAAGGTCAACTAATAAATTGCATTTTGCGTCTTATAATAGTATTCCATTCCGTTTTACATTCCTCCGAGGAAACAGCTTAAACTAAAACTTATTCTAAGCTTATAAGCGCGACTTGGTCATGCTCTCAAAAGTCAGCATGACCAAGTAATATATTTTATACTGAAATTTCTGCTAATCTGATTGGATAAGAGCATCTGAGCATGCTAAAACGCGACCTTTACTTCATCAGGTCATGCCCAATGAACTCTAATACAACTGGAAGGCTAACTCAATATACACATGCCTAGACTTTTGTGAAGCAGTGAACTCTACAACAACTGGAAGGCTAACTATAGGCTCATTATAAACAAACCTAGACTTGTTTGAAACCACTTAGAAGCTAATTTGCCGCTTCGCGTGTATCTCGCGTGGACTGTTTTATTTGAGTGACGGATTGTTTTGCAAAAACTGCTAACTTGGAAATAGGATTCTAGCCTAAATGCTTTATTTTTTCAAAACCGATAGCAAAATTTGGTTATTAACGTGTTAAGATGCATTGTGGACGTTCCAAGACATGTTTTGTATACGTAACGCTGTATTATATAAAACAGAAAAGGGAGAACTTGATTCGAAATATGAACTTCTCATTTGTCGTTGAAAGACCAAAAATTTAAGATAAAACTGATAACAGGTAGTCTGTATCTTTGAATGCCGTGCAAAATGCACACAATCCACTTAATATAACATGTTTTATGAAAGAATGTTATATGCAGTGCAGTGTTTTGAAAAAGTGCGAAGATCATATCTTCATTCAATAACATGTTTCATAAGAATTTTCTTGCTTTTAAAGTTACACTTGCTTTGTAAGAATTTCACACGCTCTTTTTGTAATGTGTGATAGTGATGATTTGAAATTTTGAACTGTCGGTGATTGTTGGTTCTTGTCATTTACTTCTTCCACTTCTTAAGAACTGGTGGAAGACTTGACATGCATCTATATTTGTGTATTGAGCACTTTATAAGCAATCGTGACTAAAACACCACACGAGTACATACAAGTACATACGAGTAACATACGAGTACATACGAGTAACATACGAGTACATACGAGTAACATACGAGTACATACGAGTGACATACGAGTACATACGAATAACATACAAGTACATACGAGTAACATACGAGTACATACGAGTGACATACGACTATTTTCTGGTCAACAAATGAGAAACAACACAATTTCTTCGATAGATTGATATTTGCGTTTATTTTCCTTGTATTTGTGTGGACTTTGGGGCAACCATTTGATGGATTTAAATGCTGAAAAGTTTATTTTACTTTCATACTACATTCATTTGTATGTTTTAGTTAAATTTGTTATAGATATTTTGTCGATGCGATTTGCCAGTATTTGAGCGCTTTTAGACACATTTTCACCTAGGAAATACATATTTATTAAAGCGATTATACATTCATTTTGACTCTGAAGATGACTACCGCTAAGGTTGTCGAAACGTCAGTCAACAACAACAAAAACAGTCCTTCTCAGGACTATACCAACCTGGACGATCTACAATTACAAACATGTAACGATACTACCGGGTTCAAACCATTTACTTTATAGATAAGGATCCAAAATGCACGAATTTCACCGAATGGCTAAGTATAGTTAACTGTTTTGCCATTTTAAATACTCACTCCGATCTGTTTTGCAATTTTTACTTCCTACACTTTTTAAAATAAAATCAACGATGAAAATGAACTTTGTTTTCTAAAAATATTACCATATTTAAACTGAATTAAAACTATAGCTATAAACAATAAATCTTGCGCTATTTCTTGAATATCAACATTTACGTAAAACGTTTACATGTGTCAAAAAGCGCTCAAATACTGGCAAATCGCATCGACAAAATATCTATAAAAAATTCAACTAAAACATACTAATGAATGTAGTATGAAAGTAAAATATCTTTTCAGCATTTAAATCCATCAAATGGTTGCCCCAAAGTCCACACAAATACAAGGAAAAATAAACACAAATATCAATGTATTGAAGTAATTGTGTTGTTTCTCATTTGTTGACCAGAAAATAGTCGTATGTCACTCGTATGTACTCGTATGTTACTCGTATGTACTCGTATGTACTCGTATGTACTCGTGTGGTGTTTTAGTCACGATCCTTTATAAGCAAGTTCATCCTTATAAATAAACAGCCAAGTGTACAACACGACAAGTATTGCTAATATAACCTGCTTTACATAAATGCCAAAAAGCAACCCTCATCCTCAGTGGTTTGAACCAGGGTTTTAAAATGATTATAAAGCAAGCAACGCTTTATCATGTATCAAAATTTTAAAGTATATCATATTGATTGTAAAATTAGTTTTTTCTTGTAATACAGATGATGATAAATGTATATGTAATATATTAAATTTTAGGATGTTTGTTTAAAATGTTTGGTCATATTTGTGAAAATATATAATGTGAATGTTTTATGCAGTGCGGTGTTTGAAATTAAATGAAAGAATGACCCGTTGAGTCACCTGATTTTTTCAGGTTTATGAGACAATTGCTTAAATTGTCCAACAAAGTGCGAAGATCATATCTTCATTTAAAATATATAATGATGCTATAAAATTAGACTAATAATCTTTTTCATTCTTGTATTACATTACAATTTTTACTTAAGTGTTTCAAAAGTTATGAATATGGATGTCATTTGTGTTTTTGTCTTTTGTTTTAAGTGGGTATTGACCCTTTTTAATATTGACTCTTTAATAGTGCAATTAATAATAACACAATAATATGACATAACATTTTTTTAAAACGAACTCAAAATATTTTTTTGCTAACTTTTTGAAATATTTTGCAAAGTGTTTTTCTTTTTGTTTACGCTCTGGGGGGCGGTTGTATAAAAACGTAATTAACTTTAACTATAGTTAACGTTAACTACCGTAGTTAACTCCTTAACTGTAGTAACTTAACTGCTCGACTTAACTGCGTTGCACAAAACGTAGTTTGTCGGATAGTTAAGTAACTGCGTAGTTAACTTGCGTGAAAATTGCGTGGGGTGTTGTTTACGTAAAATGACATAAGTGTAAACAATTTATGCTTAGTAATGGCGGCAAGTGAACTATAAAATGACTTCAAAATCAAGAAAAATCTCTAGGCTTATGTAAAAATCTTAAAATAGGGCAAACTATTGTCGTTTTTACGGATGTTGATGATGCGAAAACAAAATTTAATGAACGATTCACGATGACATGGTAACCGGATTAAATTGTAGCATATACTTTGGAATTTTTCTCAAGAAAATCGACCCTTATCTTCTGTGTAATACAGTACGATGTTGATGAATGATATGCGTCTCGGCAAGGACTGCTTTATTTCATGTACCAATTATATATAATGGATTTGAGCCAACGAAACAATGAGCTCTTCTCAAATTGATTCATATTGTGTTCTATGTGTTCTATTTGAATGGCTTTGCTTTTACAGAATTTAAAACTGAGAGATTGAGGGTAACAAAGGAAAAGGTCGTTTCGCTTCTCGTAGTTAGTAGCCATGTAATCCAGCAACTGTCTTTTCTCTGCTTGTGACATGTTATATTCACAGCTATACACAAAATACTTATTTGTTCTTAATTCTGCCTTGCAAAAACTGAGTATTAAAAACTATTGGGTATATTTGTTAATGAGCGTTAGCTATGAAACTTTTATTTATGCCGATTTATTAGCCTGTTTTTGTCTAAATCTCGGGAGTTTTACTTTTTTTCCTACTTTTTAAATCATCAAACAGTAGCTAGGTCTTTATTGGCAGGCAAGATTGTATGTACATTAAAAATAAAAATTTTTACATAAGAAATACTTGATGAAACATCAATAAAACCCACTAATTGATTGTCATGTATATTTTCTGCTTGTGTAATAAACCATATGCAATGGATAATGTATATATATATCAAGCAATATGGACCTTCACAAGGCATGCTTATGAAATGTTTTATGTATTTAAAAAACTAACATCATTGTATCTCATGCAGCTTATACACAAAAGAGTAGCCATGAATAAAAACTGTTGTAAAGCTCATGTATCTATATGTATATCATTGGTATACTTTGAACATCATTTATACTGTCGTACCTATTTGTTTTAACATAATCTAGCTTATTTTCCATATAGCAAAGAGTTTCTATGATGCGTATGATATTTAATCAAGCAAAATGCATAGTGAAAACACGCAATTTGAATATTTGATACATCTAAGGCTATAGG